TGACCTCTGTGAGTGCCAACAAGGGGTTTGCCACCAAGTACTAAGTCATGTTTTGCAGAGGGGTCAAATACTTATTTCCCTCATTAAAATGCAGATCAATTTATAGCATTTTTGACATGCGTTTTTCTGGATTTTTTTGTTGTTATTCTGTCTCTCACTGTTCAAATAAACCTACCATTAAAATTATAGACTGATCATTTCTTTGTCAGTGGGCAAACGTACAAAATCAGCAGGGGATCAAATACTTTTTTCCCTCACTGTAATACTGGTAGGAACCTCCTGGTTACACCAGCCCACAGGGGATTATTGTGTCCATCCGTCCGTCGTGCTTCCAAAAATGGGAGGGGTGGGGCTGGGTGGAGAGGGGAGGGTGGGGAGGGGCTGGGTGGGGAGGGGAGGGTGGGGAGGGGCTGGGTGGGGAGGGTGGGGCAGGGTGGGGAGGGGAGGGTGGGGAGGGCCTGGGTGGGGAGGGTGGGGAGGGGCTTGATGGGGAAGGTGGGGCTGGGTGGGGGGTGGGAGGGGTGGGGCTGGTTGGGGAGGGGCTGGGAGGGGCGAGGAGGGGCTGGGTGTGGAGGGTGGGGGGTGGGAGGAGTGGGGCTGGGTGGGGAGGGGCTGGTCACCCCGTGGTGCCCTTATAAAACGTAACGTTTAACCTACTCACGCCGGCTTGTGCCCGCCCTCACAGTCAGGCATATTTGTGGAATACACCACGCCACCGTTGACCCTGGCCATTCACCGAGCAACCCAACGTTCCTACCAGCTCCCTCCGCAGGAATGTGTTTAGCACGTTGTTTACGTGACAAACTCTACCGGCTGTGTCGGGTAGTGGAGGGTTGCGACACATTTATACTTACGTGATCTAACCCAAAAAACCTTTTTATGAATATTGGTCGCGAAAGCCTACGTGTTAAATTACATACTTTGTTTTGGTTTCTCGCCAGGAGTGTACTGTATCATTGGTTTAATTTAGAAAACTGACGAATGAGGGTTTATTTCGAGAAAACATCAAAATAGGCTCGTCGAATTACACCAATTGAAGTTGGATTAAAACTTAAGCTGATCAATGTTCATCATTATTGGCTAATACCCCAATCGGCAGATGTTTAAAAATGGCTGGCCAAGTTACGCGTCAAGTTAAACTTAAATTTCATACTTCTTTAACCATGTGGAATTATAATCACTAGAGGCTGTGGAAGTCATGATATTGGATTCAGGAATCACTTTCCCTTTTATTTATTGAGCGTCATCATTGATAACGACTGCAAGAGGCAGAAATTTGATTCATCAATATACTGTATTTACTCTTTGGTTCTTTCGGTAAAGTCACGTAGAAAGAAAAGAAAATAAATAAAGAATACGACGTTTCGATTGGAACACAAGCAACCGTCATCAGGTGTGAATGAATGCAAGCTCAGGGAGAGACTGTGGGGGCTGCTGACCCCTGGCTCCTCACTTGTGTGAGAGCCGCTGCTCCCCAACTCCTCATTCGGGTGAGGGCTGCTGCTCTCCGACTCCCCTCCTCGCGCCGCGGCCCCTCGAGTCCGCGGCCCCGCCGCCTCCGTGTCCTCTCTGTGAGGCATGGCTCGCGGTTGGCGCTCGGCCACCTGGAATTAATCCCTCGCTCTCCGCGTACACTCCTTCAAACGTTAGTGGGAGACTCCCCGCACGTTGCTGCTCACACCCGTGCACTCGCAGCCACTCAAATCCAACGTGGCCGCTCTCACGGCAACGCGCACCAATCGCACGCGTGGAACGAGGGGGTCAGGGGTCAAAGGGCGGTGACGTCACTCGTACACGCGTGGAGACAAGCGTGTTATATGAGAGCTGAGATATCCCATTGCTACATTTAAGTAATCAATTGCCATTGAATTCATTGACTAATTGGACAACACGAAAGTAAAGTCGTTGAGATTGTTTAAAACTTTCACCTCTGCCAATGTATGCCACTAGACCGTAGTTAGTTGGCAAACGCTTAAGTGATGTTATTGCTGTCAGGTGGGATGGCATTTCTGGGGGTTTCCCGCCTTCAGAAGGCAACCACAAAATAATGGGCAAGTTTAATCTTCATCCAATGAATCAACGTGATCGATTCCATAGAGTTGTGAAACCCTGTGCCATGAAGTTGCTAAGAAATTGGAAGTAAGGCAAGTGGGTCATTATTTTTATATTTACCATCAGCAGCAGAATCGGCTAGTTCTGTCTTAATATAAGATGTTTCTTCCGCTGATGAGGCATAATTTTCACGAATATAATTTAAAACCCCGTATAATGTATAGCCCTTTTGCCAATCCACTGCTGGATGAAGACCTCCCAAAGCGGTCCTGCGGAACTTATTTAAACCATACTTCACCACGCTGGTCAGTGCAGTTTCGTGAAGGATGGATGGAGAGCCAGGTCACGTTAATACTTCATAGAATTATTAATGTTATCTGTAGCCAGGTTTATAGTGCAGTGTGCCATCGCCTCACTTTCCACGCCACTGCTACCGTATGCAGCATATCTCATGCAATTTAACTCAACTCGCTCTGCTCCATTCCATGCGTTTATCTACAACAGTGAATCGGCAACCTGCGGCTCTGGAACCGCATGTGGCTTTTTGGCTGCCCCACGTTTGCGAGCAGCCGTTTTTTCTTGTTTAAAACTGAAATCGTAAATATAATTGAACGTAAAAGATAATTGGTTAAATGTCAGGGAATGTCGGGTGTCACTTTTGGGATGTCTTGGTGACAACAACATATACATTCCAGTCAAACTGTATTGTTAAAGATTAACAAAGTGGGGGAAGAGGGAACTAAATAGACGCAGTGCATTCCATCACCTATGTTGTTTATTTAAGTCAGAATGTGTGTTGTCATCTGTTGTGTACCCGCTGCTGTGTTTGTGTGGAACAGGGTGGTCCAGACAGATGTCTTGTGAACCCACGAGTAATTTACCTCTTAGATTTTTAGTTTCCTTTGTATATTCGTATCTGTTTTAAATAAGCCTTACTTTTAAACAATATATATGTAAAGTTTTAGAGAATGAAATGGGGGTCATTAGATATGTACCACCCTGTACAGGACTCGATTTGACCGTCCTGTATTCAGATTTAAAACGGCTTAATCCTTTCTGGCAATAAAACAGGTGTTAAGATGTTCAAATACCAAATAGACATCTATTACAAGGCATCAAGTCTGCATTAACCACACATGCTTGTGGTAAAACATGCAATAAAATATGCTTTGATAATGTATGCATTGTCCTTGAAACCTGTTGGCCTACACTGATGCTTTGGTTTTTATTATTACACGCTTTCATTTGTATTATATATATTTTCTTTTTCTTTTTAATTTTATTTTAGTATTTAACTCACTCCGTCTGTTGTATTCTCAAAAAATAAATCTTGTAACTCAAATTTTACACATTTCCCAATGTGCTATCGACTGCAAACTTGAATTACCTATGTTATGCTGATGACAACACTATATTCTATATAAAAAATCCAAAACATATTTTTAAACATTTTACACGCTTTTATTTAACTTACTCTGTGTTGTATCCTAAAATCTTGAAACTCAAATTCAACCGTATTCCCAATTCTAGATTTGAAGCTTTCGTGACTGCAAGGATCCATACTCTTTGGTTCTATTCGGTAATGTCACGTAGGTAAATTTTTAAAAAATAAAACAACAAAAATCACGACGTTTCGGCCACAACACAAGCGGCCTTCATCAGGTGAAGGGACCAGCCTGTCTCGAAGACTGCGCTGGAGTGAAACAGAGGCAATTCAGATCTACAAACACAGACACAATTTCAACCGAGAAGATGGTTTCAAATGAAGCAACCATTGGAAAGATGTTCTAAATCAAACCAAACATTAAACTAATTTTCATTGATACAGTATATTTTTTCAAGTAGTGGTACCCCAAACTTTCGCAGCACAGGCGGGTGCACTGCCGGTGCCGATCACTGTGCTACACCTTTCATCATGATATGTCCGCCAATCAAATGCTAATTTTTACGCTAATTCCTTTGTCAAGGCACCTTAATCCCTCTCACACAGCTTAAAGGTCGTAGTCTGAGCTTGGCTCTGTTTCACTCCAGCGCAGTCTTCGAGACAGGCTGGTCCCTTCACCTGATGAAGACCGCTTGTGTTGTGGCCGAAACGTCGCGATTTTTGTTGTTTTATCTTAATTTTTTTTACCTACGTGACTTTACCGAATAGAACCAAAGAGTACGTATTCCCAATGTCGTATCGACTGCCAACTTTGCATAGGTATGTCATACTGATGACAATACTATATTCTATCATTGAATATTTTAAAAATATATATTTTAAACAATCGTTTTTACGGCTGTAATTGTCTACGTTTTACGGCTATAATTGTCCACGCTCAACTCACGTTGCCTGTAAATCACCACGGTCCCCCTTACGTTACGGCAAGCGTAGGGAGCCACGCCGAGGGGCGGGGGATGTGGCTCATGAAGAGCGAGGGGACAAGGAGTGGGGAGCAGTAGTGTAGCGGTTAGCGCGCTGCACAACGAACCCGGCAACCCGAGTTCGATTCCCGCTCACGACTAACACCAGCGACGATTATTTGAACCGGTCACTGTGGGGACAAAGGCGGCCGGGCGCGGTATTGGCCACCCACCCCCTCATGTGTCGTGTCGGCTCCCTCGTCACACGGCGTCACAAAAAGTCAGACCCCCCTCAAATATGACGTCACAAAGCTCTGCCCGCTTTAAACTATTGTCATTGTAGTGCGTATTTAATGTGGCACTGCACTCTGATGTTGTAGGAGAAGACGTATTTAAAAGTCTATTTAATTAAGTAGAACGTGTTGTCTATATTTCTTTAAAGTTGCGCATTTTGATGTGACGTCACATTTCTCTAACCCCCCCCCCTCGTCACACATCGTCACAAATGTCTGACCACCCCCCCCTAGGTGCGTGACGTAATTTATGAACGGCCTCTTACACACTACCGAGATATGTGGTGGGCATCAGGGGGCAGTGCATTATAACATTATATGGTCTTACATCTATGTTCTCTGCTTTCAAAAATTCACACTTGAAGTATGGGTGCATTGTGCAGAGTAGGGATCCAGCAGTAAATTGACAAAAGGACTGCGCGTGTGCCACATGGCGGCTGTGTTTTAACGTTGGTTTTATGTTACCATTGCAGAATTCCATGATTATACCATCAGCAGGTGATGCCAAGTGTCCTCCGACAATGTACGAAGAAAAATCCCATGTGTGCTGCTTGCTCTGCCCTCCAGGTAGGATGGCAAACACTCAGATGGAAACATGAATGTGGTTAATATTCTTAGCTCTTTCGGTAAAGTCACGTTGAAGGGAAACAATAAAATAATAAAATATATATAAAAAATAAAAATTCTCACGACGTTTCGATCATAACACAAACGGTCGTCATCAGGTGTGTCGATTTGCATTAATTTATTTATTTTAAACGGTGTATTTACTTATTTATAAAAAAACGTCAGCGCCACGCGCAGCGATTTGGCAGTTTATTTAGAAGGACTAGTCCATCTATGTTCTGAAAAGAGGAGGGGGGAGACGAAAAATTAATGTATGCTGTCTGAAAGCCACTGTAAGCGTGAACAATCAATTAAAACCTGAAATGGTTTATCAAATCTTTCCAATGATTGCTAAGCCAGAATCCATCTTCTCAGTTGAAATTGTCTCTGTGCTTGTATATGTGGATAGCCTCATGAACGAATCTCTCATGGTAGCCAGATGTCTTACAAATAACCTCTGTCTTGGAAAAGTCAATGTCATGTGAGCCTACTGAATTATAACAATGATCTGCCATGGCCGAGATGTTGGTCCTACCGTGTTTAAGGTCTGCTTTGTGTTCACGAATGCGGTCCGAGACATGTCGTTTGGTTTCTCCAATGTAACTACTACCACAGAGGCAACTTAGTTTATAGACACCAGGGTACTGCATGTCTGGAATCACATCTTTTACAGACGGAACCAGATCACAGATTTTATGTAATGTGTTGAAACGGACCTGGAGCTTGTGTTTATTCAAGATTTTGGAGATCTTTTTTGTGATCCCCGCAATGTATGGTAAAGTGATGGTTTTGAAAGGCTCCTCAAGAGGGTCCTTCTTCATGGTTTGAGTGATAGCTTTGCGGATTGTATAGTCGGAGTAACCATTAGCCTTAAGAGCTTGGTGTACGTGCTTGAGTTCACTGCCTATGTGTTCCTGGTTGGATATGCATTGGGCTCTATGATACAGAGTCTTGATGAGAGAATTCTTTCTTTGATGGATGGTGGTGGGAATCCGGTTTCAGATAAGCATCCGTATGGGTAGCTTTCCTCTAGACAGAGTGGCTCATTGAATCATCAGGTCTCGTTTTTATTAGGACATCCAAAAAAGGTAGCTTGCCATCTTTTTCGACTTCCATGGTAAATCTGATGGCTGGGTGTATGGAATTGATGTGGTCGAAGAATTGGTCTAGAGCAGGCCGGCCATGTGGCCGGATGACAAAAGTGTCATCCACGTACCTCTTCCATAAGGTTGGGCGCAGAGTGGCAGTCTGGATGGCGTCAGTCTCAAATTTCTCCATGAAAATGTTAGCTATAACCGGAGATAGGGGGGAGCCCATTGGGGTGCCCTCAGTTTGTTTGTAGAAAGTTCCATTCCAAAATCTTGAATAAACACAAGATCCAGGTCCGTTTCAACACATTACATAAAATCCGTGATCTGGTTCCGTCTGTAAAAGATGTGATTCCGGACATACAGTACCCTGGTGTCTACAAACTAAGTTGCCTCTGTGGTAGTAGTTACATTGGAGAAACCAAACGACATGTCTCGGACCGCATCCGTGAACACAAAGCAGACCTAAAACACGGTAGGACCAACACCTCGGCCGTGGCAGATCACTGTTATAATTCAGTAGGCTCACATGGCATCGACTTCTCCAAGACAGAGGTTCTCTGCAAGCCATCTGGCTACCATGAGAGATTCGTTCATGAGGCTATCCACATATACATATACAAACACAGAGACAATTTCAACCGAGAAGATGGATTCTGGCTTAGCAATCATTGGAAGGATTTGATAAACCATTTCGGGTCTTAATTGATTGTTCACGCTTACGGTGGCATTCAGACCGCATCCATTATTTTCGTCTCCCCCCTCCTCTTTTCCGAACATAGATGTACTCGTCCATCTGAATAAGTGCCAAATCGCTCTCCGTGGTGCTAACGTTAAAAAAACCGCCACTTTTTTCAAAATTTTCTTGCTGTGGTTTTCACACCTGATGATGATTGCTTGTGTTGCAGTCGAAACGTCTTGAGAATTGTAATGTTTTATATTTTTATTATTTTATTGTTACCCTTCTACATGACTTTACCGAAAGAACCAAGAAAATGAATCCCTGCAGTCACGAAAGCTTTAAATCAAAGCTTTACATCAGAATGTGATAAGTCACACATTTTTCATGCCCACGATCCACTCGCAGACCTTGAAGAAAGTTCACTTTTAAATCACTATATCAGGGTGTTCACTCGAACAGATTTAATGACAATTCGAACCGGGTCGTTAAAGCATCAAAATTAACATATTATACACTGGTCCATGTGTACAGGATGGTCCAGATGTCTTGTGACTGCCCCCCAATTAATTGACCCCAAACATGTTTTTTCCCGTTTGCATATTATTTTTTTTACAAAAAAATATATATAAAGTTTTGTAGAATTAAATGGTGGTCACAATACATCTGGTCCACCATGTACAGTGCAGTGTTGTGGTGGCCGCGTCGGGCGTGCCACCATAAATGTTGTCTCAATGGTTATTTTGACTGTATTCCTTCATAGGCTCACTTGTATGTATATGGTCAACCGTGCTAATCGGAGGTGCGTGTCTTGAAATGCATGGTGCTTCAATGAGCCGTCTTCTGGTTTAATTACGAATTTATTGATCTACTGAGTATGTTTAAAACAAATTATGATCTGAACCCAACTTTGTAGGTACATTCAAGTTTGAAGACTGCAAGGGCAATGGAGGAATGCCTGTTTGTCTTTCCTGCATGGATGAGACTTTCATGGAAACTTCTGGAAACGCTACTCATTGCAACCCATGCAGTACCTGCAGTGAACGTAAGGAATTTATTCAGTTTGTTTAAATGTAAAACAATTCAAATTACCAGGGATACACTTCATAAAACCTGCATATAAATGTGCTCCTTCATAAAGCCTGTCTTTGCCAGGCAAAAGTGTTCAATAAATGTAATAATTTACCTGATATTATTTTTTTGTTTACAATTTTTATCTACGATCAGACACTAACAACTACTCCAAAAAATATATATTTTTGCAGAAAAATTGTTGACGACTTGATTCAACTTCTTATATTTAAACACGTACCCATCAGATACCGCCCAATTTAAAGATTCCGTTCTTTTTTTTTACTAGAAAGAACAAACATTAATTAACTTAATACTTTGTGAGCAAAAGCTCCTCTCTTTTACCGTTTATCGAATTATTCAGATTTGAACATCATAAAATGCGATTTTTTTTCGTTCAAACCCGCTTGAATCCGAAATAGCTCAAACACAATTAAAAAATATGTAACAATGGTTCTCGTTTGAATTTTATTTGCTGTTTTAACGCTTTATCAAACGAAAAAACCCGCAATCTTATATTTTGAACGGCTTCTGAATGACATGCACAAACAGTTTTATGGGGCACAAAATTTTGATTTGGGGGCCTTACAATAAAAAGCTCGGATTTTCATATTTTTCCTGTTGTGTGTGCCCTAAAAGCTACATATGAAGCAATTGGCGGGGCCCCGGGGTCCTATCACTGCCCCGGGGTGGGAAAAACCGCATAGCGATACGAGTCTTGCCTTACCGACAACAAAACTAGTTTTTACATTATGAGACCTCCTTTGCCAGTAACAAGATATAGTAATAGGTTTTTACCCTTTTAGCTGGCACAAAAACTGACACCTTTATACAAGGGATCATGTTTGCAATAACCACAACACAAGCAGTCAAAAATGCAAACAAAAAGAAACAACTCTGATAATGATATTCACTGTCCTTGAATTTGATTTGTCCACACCCGAGACGGCTTTTCTTAGAGCCTAGTCTCCACTGGTGTTGGACCAGATGACGCCATAAGGCGTACAACTGTTGTACAACTGTTGTAACAATCAAATTCAAGGACAGTGCATATCATTATCAGAGTTGTTTCTTTTTGTTTGCATTTTTGACTGCTTGTGTTGTGGTTATTGCAAACATGATCCCTTGTATAAAGGTGTCAGTTTGTGTGCCAGCTAAAAGGGTAAAAATCTATTACTAAACAAAACTAGTGTCAATCGATTGGCCTCGTCGAGAGCTACTCGGAGCACTAAGTTTCGTAAAAAGTTGAAAAATTGCATAAACACGTTAAATTCACTGCGGGGGCGGGCTCGCCTTGGCAAAGAAGCTGAGGATCGACGGTTGAACGGAGGGCGTTGTCGCCGCGCGTGACTGCGGCGGACGCCCGGGCGTGCATTTAGCCGGTGGGGTGGCGCCCATCGTGTTGATCGCCGCCTGCTGGCGCTTGTTCGCACGAGTCTGGGTGGGCGGCGCGTTGCTGTCGGGATCACGAGTGGGCGGACTGAAAAATAATAATTATTGACCTGATTTTTACGGGACCCTAGGGTCCCGCCAAATGGTTCATATGTACCCAATTTCAGCATTCTACCTTGTCGGGAAGTACCCCAGAGGTTTGTGAGACGAACATTTATCCAGACAGATTCAAGTTTTTATACAGATTGTAAAACATACCAATAAAAATAATGAAAACAGTTACCAATAAATCATTACAATTCACAAAAAAATGCTGCTTTATTAAAGACTAACCAATTAATTAATAGCAATTCACACACATAACTATTTTTGTGACAACCAATAAATTAACACATCTCCGATTTTCACGGTTGGCTACATACGGTGCGAAAGAAGTTCAACATGCATAAATACATTTTGGACACACATTAATGACATCACAGCCCCTATTTACAGCCCAAGACTGGAGGACATTTCCCCACTTCTAGCAACTGCCTAATGATACTCTTTGTAACTGTCACCAAAACATCGTACCTATGTAGTGACAGGGTGCCATCTGTTGACCATGAGGGATAACTACGGGTATGGGTGCGCTATATAACAGCCAACCATAAGGGGGGTGTAACTGGGCCAAGGATCAGGGGCGGGGATCATTCGGGAAGCTCCTGGAACCTGCATGAGAGTTCTAGAAGGGGGGCGTGGCCAGAGGCGGGGCTTGGCCACGCTGAGGAGTATATAAGGGGGAGGTAACCAGAGGTTCGGGGCTGTCGTGGGGGTTCGGGTCCTGGCTACCATCACTGTCTTCGCCGTCATCTCTTCATCATTGTCCGGCTGTATAGCCGATCCGCTGTACGGTCCCCATCGTCGTCGTCGCTGTATCGACAGCCAGCTATATAGTTAGACGCCGGCGATGTGGCTGTATGAGTTGGTCAGCTTCACGTAGCCCAGTGTATATGTCGCTCAGTGACTCTGCCTGTAAAGTGTGAGAAATAAACAAGGAACCCTCTACAAGTCGTGTCTCGGAAGTCACTCACTACACCTGTTTAAATTATGTGATCTAACGACCCAACACAACGATGTTGTTGAAGCAATGATACATTTGGTGCGTTTGTTCATCACGTGACAACTTTATTAATTGGCTCTGTCAGGTGGTGGAGGGTTTACGACACATTTTATTTATGCAATCTGACCCCCCCAAAAAAATCAATTATGAATCATAATATTGGTCGCGAAAGCCTACATGTTAAATATTTGTAAGCAAGATTTTGCAGTATTTACACCGTTACTATACCATGCATCGAATAATTTTGTTATTGCTTTTGCAGATGAAATTTCTCAGCCTTGTCAAGCAAAACAGAATACCAAGTGCCACTGTAAAGATGGCTTCTATCGTTCCGATCCCTCACAGCCTTGTCAACCGGAAAGTAAGTGTTTAGAATGGTGACGAAATCCAAGAGGTGGCCCAGAGGTCAGAGCACTGAGCTCGCACAGCTGAGATGCCAGGGTTGGAATCCCTGGTTTCAGCTACCGGTGTTTAAACTGGGTTCTGAAGTGTAGAGAGTTGATGGTCTCAGCCTGGTCAAAAATGACTGCACACACAAAAAAGTATCACGTAAAATTAGGGCCGACACTTAATTTGACTAAATTGCAAATACATATTGGTTATTCGATAAATCTATACCGTGACAAGTTTTTTACATGACAAATGTTCATATAAAGGCCATGATATTAGTTTCCACACCTTTGCAATTAATTGCATTGCCCATTTTAATTGTATTTTTTCTAAACTCCACTTCGAGTACAAATACGATCACTTCAATGTTCTTTAACTGTCGTAAACTTCCATACGTCTTCGAATAATTTCAACTTCACAAACTATAATGCCCATGACGCACATGCTGCCAGTTATACAACAAAGACGTAATTAAATGCAACGACGATGGGGTCGTAGAATTACCATATTCTCAGTTATTCCATAAACATTTGGCAAAGCGCTCATTTAATATATCTGTCATGGCTATTTGTTTTGAATAGTTTACAATTCTGAACAACTAACTTTGTTATTCCATAAAGATTTTACCAGGAAATCCCTCAGAAAAATAAAACGAGTAATGTTGAAACACAATTTAACATTTTGCTGAGTGGATCATATGGTTATTGTTGGATTCTAAATTTGAAGCTTTCGTGACTGCAAGGATTCATACTCTTTGGTTTTTCGGTAAAGTCACGTAGGTAACATAAAATGAAAACAACTAAATTAAATCACGACGTTTCAGAGGCAACACAAGCTTCCGTCTTCAGGTGGAACAGTCAGCTATTCTGCTGTGGCTGTTCCACCTGAAGACGGAAACTTGTGTTGCCTCCAAAACGTCGTGATTTAATTTAGTTGTTTTCAATTTATGTTACTTATTATTGAATCTTACATCTTACGAATTATCATAGTCCTGTATTGCCATACCGTGGAAATCCAAGTAATTTGCACCAATTTCAAGTTAAAACATTCTGCTGGTTTGCCTGGTGCAATTGGCAAGAGTCTTCCATGAACATCCTGGTGGCCACTTTAGTTCAATAAAATTCAACAGTGGCTTCTTCAAGCATACGCGGAGGGGCAGGGCCACGGCTGACTTTGTTGTTTAGTAAATTCCAAGTGTAAAGATGTTTTTTTTGCAGTGCCGTATGATAAGCTCTTTTTACAGTGAATAACACTGGTTAATCAAAGCTCTTCAGAAGCTGTGTTAACATTACTATTAATGACCAGCAGATGATCAAACATTTAGAACTTGCCTTTACAATCACAATTAACACGACTACTGAGTTCATCAGTCACTTCGTTTATGCTCTCCTTGAATTATATATTTTGCTCTTGTTTTTGTTTACATTTTAGACACTCAACTAAAAATAATGACCAGCATTATCGTTGGATTCATTGTGTTGGTCTTTATTGTGAGTTTACTTTTATTTTACCTCCGTAAATGCAATCCCAGAATTCAAGAATTTAATATGGAACGGAGAGGATTTCTAACAGGTATGATTCATACATTGCGTTTCACTCTACCACAATGTATTGACCACCATCCATTAAGTGATTTCATGTCTTGCTTTTTTTCCTTCTTTGGTTAAATTCGGTTGGCTACAATTTTGATATCAGAGGGCTGCAAATCGGAGGTGATTTTACTTGTTTTTTTGCCTTAATACAGATTCTTTTGGAAGATATATTCTAATATTGCTGTGAATAACGTCGTGAGAGCGTGTCTCCTTGCCTCTCTTCTATTGCTGTTGTCGTCACTATTGATGACACATAAGCAAAGCAGTTCCTCCTCGTTGTATTGTAATTAAAAACCTTGTTTATGAGGGCTTGGATGACTTCATGTTTTCTCAATGCCTCTTTGTTGTAAGATTATCAAAAGAGCCATGTGTAATGGGAAATTATCTTTTTTAGGATCTGATAGATAGTATTAAATGGTCAATGGTAGAAAACTACCACCTAAATCCAGCATGCGTCAATGGTTGGTTTCCTCTAAAGTGTTGATTATTCTGTTCCACAATTTATATGTATATAATAAGGGGCTCATGGGTTTCTAGTGAATAAGGCCTCATTCCATGATTGTTTGATCTAATTCTGTGTAAACATTTGATGAACAAGTCTTATTATTGTGGATTAATTAATTTTTGAAAACTGCTAGACTAAACTTAATACACATATAAATATATAGAGTGATATATTTATAAAAAAATGAGTTTATAAATATGTTCGTAATTTTCATATTTCAATTATATTCTTGCATATCAAATGTGTGTCATATTTTAACAGGTTTACTCTATCCAACCGTCTTTGAACTAATGCTATACTTTTATATCTGCCATTTAGATGGAACATTTCAGCAATACAATGAATTTTTAGCGAATAAAACACAAAACATTGCGCTTTATGGCTATAAACTTGGAGAATATGTGCTGTTACAAAACATATTTGTACAACCCCTGCTTAAGAATCAACGTTGCACCATGGAAGTCAACGACTATGAATTTATTTCTAACGCGAAGAAGTATAGCCAAGTCACGAATAATCTTACCGAAACATTTGGCAGGAATAAGCTCTTTCAGCCGAAAACAGAAAATGGAAAAAAGCCTCGATTGGTTGTTCTGGTTGGTGTTCCAGGCATTGGGAAAACGACTCTGACTCAAAATATCGTCCACCAACTCGCAACCGGAGTTAATTTGTTTTATTTTGAGTTTAAGATTATTGTTTACATCACCTTGAGAAAGTTAAATAATTTGACCGATCCAATGTCACTTCGAGAACTATTAAGGAATGAGTATCGTGGACTTGAATGTATAATCTACAGTGTGTTTGAAAGTCAAAAGATATTGCTGATCCTAGACGGTTTGGACGAATTAAACAATCCCATTGATTTGGAAATTGCTTGCAGTGATCCAAAGAAGAAAACATCTGTGGAAAATATAATTGCTGGCATAGTGGGAGGCAATCTGTTACCAGGTGCCTCCGTATTGCTCACAACACGGCCAGTTGCACTAAATCAGTTAGCTGCTCTAAGAATAGACAACATTTTTGAAATAGTTGGATTTTCAAACTCTGAGCAAAATGAATACTTCTCAAAATTTTATAAAAATGATGAACTTGGATGTAGAGTATTGAGGTGCTTGGAAAATAATGAAAATATCTTTCAGTTCTGCTACCTCCCTGTATTCTGCTACATAGTTGGTTTAGCAATCCAGCCACGTTTGGAAGAAACCTTAGCTTCAGGGTTGGTTTCCAGCACTCTAACTGAGCTGTTTTCCACGTTCTTGTTATTTATCATAAAAAGTCACAATGCCGAACCCAGTATGTCTCGGGAAATGATCACTTGTTTTGCAAGAATGGCATTGTGGGGAATGCAAAAGAACATTCAACTGTTCGGAGAAGACGATTTGAAAACATTCGAAATCGATTACGGCAGTCTCCACACTAACAACGGCATCTTTCTGGGTGAAATATTCAAAAGTGAAGAGCGTAAGGGAACCAAAATGTATTCATTTATTCACCACACAGTGCAGGAATTCTTTGCATCATTGGCGTTGTACCTTACAGTCCCCGAATTAAATTGTACAAGCAATCCTGTAGACGAAGTTATCGAAAGTTTTGAGGGACGCACACACGGGCGGAATGATGCCTTTAAATTATTCTGCATTGGATTGGCTTCGCGACAGTCTTGGGAAAATTTTGACAGTGTGTTGGGATTTGCATCTCAGCATTCTCAAGAACAAATTACCAACTGGCTCAGACGCAGCATAGAGCAACCCCAAAGTGACAAATGCAAGCTCCTGAGCTTCATGCACCACTTGTACGAGTTGCACGAACCTACTGCCATATGCAGTGTCCTAGGGTCCACATCAACAATTGATGTATCACTCACAAGGCTTTATCCACTGGATGTCACCGCGATTGCCCACGTTCTGCAGAGTCTGACTAGGCCTCTGGATAAATTCTGGCTAAATGGCTGTGAGATCGGCCCCGAGGACGTAAGGAAACTCCTGAAAGTACTACTTAAATGCAAGCAGCTGAGGTAAGCTTTGTGGAGCCGCTCTTGCTACGTTTTGTGCACTCCCGAATACAGGGCATGCACCATCCGTCACCATCTCGTGTGCGCCATCCTCGTGCCAGAGGGTTGACGGCGTGTAGCACCTCGCTCCAATTCTCTCTTCGCCGGCTATGCTACATAGTTAACCTCCATCACCCTGCCATTCTCTCACGTCATGTGTTCATCCATACTAGATTAATCATGATTCATAATAGATATTTGGGTATGGTCAAGTAATGATCTGTCTGAATCTGTATCATTAAAAACCCTCCACCACCCGGCACAGCCAAACTAATTGTCACTTCGACAAGCACGTGACGATTACTGTTGTTTGAGCGCACTGGGTACGTTGAAGAGCAGTCCTCTCAACCCAACTTAGCAAACAAATATAAAGTTGTATACAAGATTGCTCTTCAACTTACTAGCCCACACGTCTATTAGAAATACAGCAATTGGCTTCTAATACATACCACGTTAGAATAAACACGTAAATGTGTGTGAAACGTTATGTTGATAATCTTTTTAAGCAACCATTGTGAATAACAGATTAGGTGGGAGTAACGGTGAATAAAATTATAAGTCAGATGAGAGATTGTGAGTCATGGGTGAGAGTGAAGTTAAATGGTATAGGACTGGGGAAGGATCAAGCGTGGAGGGCAGTGCTCTCCCCTAATCTCTGTATTTTAAGATGATCGGAGAGTCAGCTGCACCCCAAACATGTTTAGATTTTATTGATTTCAGCAGGAAGAGCCCAATGAGCTGTTAGGCTCTATTTCATGGGCATACTGTGATGGTAATATATTAAGTTATGTTCCCACTGGCAATGAATAAATATAAAAGTTGTCTCACACATACACGCATCTACCAGATTATGATACACACCCCCAGCTCTAGCTTTAAATGCAGGAAAATATAGTATTCTTTTTTACTTCTTCCCTTGGGAAGTCAATAATAGTACCTATAAGCTCAACATAATATTTCTTTTTAGACTTCTCTTGCTATTTTTCTTTTAGACTTGGTGAAAACAAAATCGGAGATGAAGGTGTGAAGATTCTAATCGAAGACGTGGAAAACGACGCTGGGATTTTTGAGGATTTAAAGTGAGTGCTCAATAAGTCTTCAAAATTTTCATTTCATTCTTCCGATTCTGTAATACTATATTATTTTGATTTATAAACGTGTACTCGTCCTCATTATTATGTTAATAGATTGTCATCACTATCTTAGTGATTACAATATACATTTAAAACCCCATTTTAATGGAATCTTTTTACTTGTTTTAAACTATTATTCTTTCAACTGACCTGCTTTTTGGGTACATCTAGCATGGGATATTGGAAACACATTGTACCAACAAGAAATATCTCCATAATAAACGTTTTGGGTTAGATCGTAACCCTCCACCACCCGACACGGCCAAACAGTAAAAAAGTGTCACGTTGACAAAAGACAAAATAATTCACTATTTTAGCCCACCTGTGTGTTGAGTGGATCCACAACATAAAAAAAAAAAATTCTTACGACGTTTCGCTGGTAATTACATTCAGCATCATCGGGCAATTTGACAGAATTTGTCTTTTGTCAACGTGACACATTTTTTTACTGATTGGCCGTGTCGGGTGGTGGAGGGTTACGACACATTTATAAATAACGCGATCTAACCCAAACAATTTTTATTATGAATAATATTAGTCGCGAAAGCCTACGTGTTAAAAATAAATATCTCACCATCATCATACCATACACGTGGGTCCCTTAAAGTGAAGGAGCAAAATGGCATTGAAATATGCCTATCCAGTCCAGCCTTGCGACTCAGGGGTAGAGCAATCAGTGGTTCACAGTGGGAAGGTTTGCAAATTCAAATCCTGTTTGGGGGTTGGCTCAGTCCATCACCCCCATGTGGTCGATAATATGAGTTACTATCTTGTGCGTAAGTCAGAAGTTCGTTGTCCTATGGAATGACTCGCTCACAATCTACTGTAAATATATTCGTATTGCAGTATATTAATTGTGTGTTTGTGCCCTTTTGTCTAGCCTCTGGGATTGTAACTTAACTGATGATTCAGGCGATAGCCTAATAAAACTCATCAACAAGAACAAGACTCTCAAAGTGATTCGGTAAGGTGAAAAACCTTTCGTGTTTCAATCAATAATTCTTCATTTGGCATATTTGGCATTTGCACCATTTCACTTAGTTTGCTTTATGGTACAACAACAAAAATGTTTTTAGGAAATAGACTGTTGTGACCAAATGGTGCCTTGCACTTTTTCAGAGTACATTGATAAATCCAGTTAATCTTGTCTTTGTATTGCAGGCTGGGGTGTAATAATTTCAGCGAAGGATGGAAAACTAAACTAGAATCACAAGAGGCTCAGAGACCTGGGCTGCATATCACCGTGTGGTGATACCCAAAGATGAGGACCGTGTGTTTCTCTCACCGACACATATTTTCAGTGTGCTCTATTTATGACGGTGTAATAAAAATGTCATTGGAGATTGCCAACCCGTGACTTGGTCCTTGTTGTACATTGAAGCCTCGCGGTAGCGCATTAACCGCTTGTTGAAGACGTTCGCGGTTCAAATTCAGCAGTGGCTGCCCTGGTTATTACTGCGGGTGCTGTAACTGGACATTGCATTTCCCCGTCGTGTCATTTGCAAGGATGGGCTATTGTGTGCCGGTGTCGTGGTCCTAATTTGCAAAAACCTGGCAGGACCCTCCTGAAAAAAGTTATGAAACTCCATGAGTGAGGCTGCCTTGGATAAACAAACATAGTGAATGTACTGCACCCAACGCCGATATATACAGATGCTTGGTCTTATTTAATACGGTAACGTGATCCAAGTTAGTATTTTAAACTATTTTTAGAGAGCAGGACGCTTACTAACATAGGTTTTCGAATTCTACCCTGCCGCTGTCGTCGTTGATGAAATCAGGAATGCAAGTAACATTTTCAAGCCGCACTACAATTGGGAAAAAGATATGTGACCGCATTTATTTCCATAGTCGCCGGTGCGGGTTAGTGAAGAAACCCACCGGATATAGTGAATACATCACTCACGCTCGGATGACCACAGGCCCTTGGGCATTGGCAAGGCACATTTAAATGCAGAGGTCACAAATCTCTACTATGAAGAAGGGTCATTGCTTGAAACTTCATATTTTGGGGGTTTTTTTCCTTAAGGGCAGTCTCATAAACAAATGTGTTGCGTTTGATTTATATTTGTAACGGTTATATGGCATGTACAGTGAGGGAAAAAAGGATTTGATCCCCTGCTGATTTTGCACGTTTGCCCACTGACAAAGAAATGATCAGTCTATATCTTCTTTGGTTCTTTCGGTAAAGTCACGTAGAATGAGAATAAAATAATAAATTGATCAAATAAAATAACACAATAATATTCTCACGACGTTTCGGCCACAACACAAGCGGCCTTCATCAGGTGAAGGGACGAGACTGTCTGGGAGGACAGCGCTGTCTGGGAGGACAGCGCTGTCTGCGAGGACAGCGCTGTCTGGGAGGACAGCGCTGTCTGGGAGGACAGCGCTGTCTGGGAGGACAGCGCTGTCCTACCAGACAGTCTCGTCCCTTCACCTGATGAAGGCCGCTTGTGTTGTGGCCGAAACGTCGTGAGAATATTATTGTGTTATTTTATTTTATCTATTTATTATTTTATTCTCATTCTACGTGACTTTACCGAAAGAACCAAAGAAGATGAATCCTTGCAGTCACGAAAGCTTTAAATCGAAATTTAGATCAGTCTATAATTTTAATGGTAGGTTTGTTTGAACAGTGAGAGACAGAATAACAACAACAAAATCCAGAAAAATGCATGTAAAAAATGTTATAAATTTATTTGCATTTTAATGAGGGAAATAAGTATTTAACCCCCTCTCAATCAGAAAGATTTCTGGCTCCCAGGTATCTTTTATACAGGTAACGAGCTGAGATTAGGAGCACACTGTCAGGGACACGATTGTAGACCTACATAAGGCTGGAATGGGCTACAAGACCATTGCCAAGCAGCTTGGAGAGAAGGTGACAACAGTTGGTGCGATTATTCGCAAATGGAAGAAACACAAAAGAACTGTCAATCTCCCTCGGCCTGGGGCTCCATACAAGATCTCACCTCGTGGAGTTGCAATGATCATGAGAACAGTGAGGAATCAGCCCAGAACTACACGGGAGGATCTTGTCAATGATCTCAAGGCAGCTGGGACCATAGTCACCAAGAAAACAATTGGTAACACACTACGCCATGAGGGACTGAAATCCTGCAGCGCCCGCAAGGTCCCCCTGCTCAAGAAAGCACAGATAAATGCCCGTATGAAGTTTGCCAATGAACATCTGAATGATTCAGAAGACAACTGGGTGAAAGTGTTGTGGTTAGATGAGACAAAAATGAAGCTCTTTGGCATCAACTCAACTCGCCGTGTTTGGAGGAGGAGGAATGCTGCTTATGACCCCAAGAACACCATCCCCACCGTCAAACATGGAGGTGGAAACATTATGCTTTGGGGGTGTTTTTCTGCTAAGGGGACAGGACAACTTCACCGCATCAAAGGGACGATGGACGGGGCCATGTACCATCAAATCTTGGGTGAAAACCTCCTCCCCTCAGCCAGGGCATTGAAAATGGGTCGTGGATGGGTATTCCAGCATGACAATGACCCAAAACACACGGCCAAGGCAACAAAGGAGTGGCTCAAGCTGAAGCACATTAAGGTCCTGGAGTGGCCTAGCCAGTCTCCAGACCTTAATCCAATAGAAAATCTGTGGAGGGAGCTGAAGGTTCGAGTTGCCAAACGTCAGCCTCGAAATCTTAATGACTTGGAGAAGATCTGCAAAGAGGAATGGGACAAAATCCTTCCTGAGATGTGTGCAAAGCTGGTGGCCAACCTAAGAAACGTCTGACCTCTGTGATTGCCAACAAGGGTTTTGCCACCAAGTACTAAGTCATGTTTTGCAGAGGAGTCAAATGCTTATTTCCCTCATTAAAATACAAATTAATTTATAAAAAAATTTACATGCGTTTTTCTGGATGTTTTTGTTGTTATTCTGTCTCTCACTGTTTAAATAAACCTACCATTAAAATTATAGACTGATCATTTCTTTGTCAGTGGGCAAACGTACAAAATCAGCAGGGGATCAAATACATTTTTCCCTCACTGTAATTATGTTAATGGTTTATTATTATGGTATCCATATGTCTAAAGCAGCTCAAGCCTCCCAGAAATCATGTGACTTGTGCATGACCAACCCCTTCCCACTCCCCGCCCCCTGCGAAAACAGACTCTGCTGCTCCGTGCAGCTCACATCTGTATGCCCCCCCCCCCCCCATACTCTTCCCTCTCCTCTCATCACCTTCTCATCCCCAACATACTTGGCCGTGTCATTCCTTCTCTTGGTCGTGTCATTCCTTCTCTGTCCCCTCCCCTCGCTGCCCCAGTGCTCCTTTCTTCCTGCTGCTCGTTTTGAACCATGCCCTCTTTGTCTTGGGGGATTTCTGTCCTGACATCCCTTTGCCGGTCATCTTGCCCCATCTTCTCGGTTCTCAAGTTTCATTTCTCATTTTCCGTGCATTATCCATTTGAGTCTACTCCCTCTGCTGTGATGCACCATAGGTAAAAGGTGTTACGCTCACTATTTTATTGTTACGCCTATGTTGCCGTTGTTGTACATACTGCTATCGTATATGTTTTGAAAATATACATTATTAATACATGCCATTATTGGGTGTCTGTTAATTATACGTGATATATTGATGACCTTAGAAGTCTGATTTACCGGAAGTATTTTATATCAAAAAACAGAATACGGCTAGACAGGGTTTGATGGGGAAAAGTGTAACGGAGCAACACCAACAAGCGAGAACGTAAGTGGGAGATATACATCGTGCAGAGGTGATGCTTTCTTTGAGTGTTGTGTGGGGAGGCAAATGAGGGTGATGGTGTGGTGTAGGTTGGGTGACTCATGGAATGGTGATCGGTGAGTGTGTTGAGGGATGTGTGAGTGGGAGAGTGTAAGAGCACGGTGTGTGTGTGATGTCTGATTTAAAACTGCTTCATAACATCTCCACTACTTACTGGCCATGTGCATTGTAATTATGACTTCAACTGTAATAACACATTGTAATAATTGCTGATAAACCACTTCAACCTAAGTGCATTGGAGTTCCTCTTATCTGCGTTGATTTGGGGAGCGCCGTTCGTGGTTCCTGCTCATTATCAGTGGAATGTTGCTGCAGGTGATGTAATCGTTAGCGCAATAGACTTGCAATTTAGAGGTCGCCGTTTGGACCTCCCGGCGCGGCAGTTGGTACAATGAGCAAGTTAATAAGAATCTTGGTTTAGACTGGAGGAAAAAGATGAGCCATGAAGATATTTTTGTCCAGCATGGGCGGGTTAACTCTTCCAAGGCACCTATCAAGTGTGGAAGAGTAGGCCAAATACCCCTCTATAGTGGAATCTATAGAGCTCCCTCGAGTGGAGATCTTTGCACCAGCAGTGATGTGAGCAAGACTCCTGCTTAAACCTCTGAAACCTGTAACATGACATTGAGTAGCCAAACACAAGAAACCAATGCAGGGATGTGAGGCTGATACAAAACTCTCGAAACTCTTGACAGATACCCAAGCGATATAACATTTGATTTTAGTAATCAATACATTTGTAATGACGACTTGACACACTTCTCTTGAGATGGCACTTTATTTAAGACACGTTCATTTGACATCAGGTGGAGATCCCACCTAAACAGCCCCGAGTATCCCGTGCATCTCCCTTATATATCAACACGAGTCCACGCCCCCCTTCTCGAATATTCTCGCTGACTGGACACTCGCTCCACCAGCAGACTCTACCGTCACCTGACCATGCTCCCTTCTCGAACATTCCCGTAGCCACCAGTCCCTTCGCACTCACAACTGATACCCCTGTCATTACCTCCCGTGGCCACTAGTCCACTCACACTGTAGGCTGACTCCTCTGTCATTACCTCCCGTGGCCACTAGTGCATTCTCACTGTAGGCTGACTTCCCTGTCATTACCTCCCATGGCCACTAGTCCACTCACACTGTAGGCTGACTCCCCTATCATTACCTCCCGTGGCCACTAGTGCATTCTCACTGTAGGCTGACTCCCCTGTCATTACCTCCCATGGCCACTAGTCCCCTCACACCACATGCAGGCTCTATTGTCATTACACATTTATACTTGGGATTCTGGGAATTTCAATCACACCTATAATGCAAAGCAACATTCATGTGTCTGAATAATTGTTTAATTGGTGTATATTAAGTTCTCTGACATGGATAATAAACATGATTAATATAGTGACAGAAAATGGAACAAAGTTTTGGAAAGTGCGCAAAGAGCATAGAGAGAAGCAACTTTTAAATTACATTGCGAGACGGAAAGATGAACACGTGGATTAGAGAACATACACAAGTTAAAGATATCATATTGACTGAAAAGTATTATGACCGATAAGAAAAGTTGACAGGCAGGACCCATCGCGAAGATGATGGCCAGTGTTCTGAGCAGGAGCGGTTCGCCCCCACCAAGCAGCTGGAGATGAGAAATAAATGTTCTAATAAAAAAATACATTTCTCTAAATTATTGTGTTTAAAAAAAAATACAATGTTTATTGCAACGTGATTTGCCTCACGAAGATGACATTTTAAGTTGTTCATATTAGAAACCATTGCAACGCAGTCTGATTTGTGCCTCGGGTAGGTCTGGGGGCAGCTGTGAAGGCGTCCGAGTGAGAGATATCCCCCTTCATCGTTGCGATCAGATTCGCATTTTAGCCACGTCGTTTGAGACCCATTCATGGTGGTGAACAAGGCGCGCCCATGGCTGTAATCCGACGATGTCACAACGCGAGGTTGCACTGTGCAAATATAGCAACTCACGGCTTTTGGCAACGTCAAAGTGGTTGTGTAGTATGTACTTGAGGGTCATGGGGACAACATTTGAGTGTTTTCTTGTTTTGTTTCGTAATGTTTATAAATGCCTACCGTTGGTAGATAAGATAGTTATATCACTTTCACGGGAAGGCCAATAACATGACGAGTTTTTTTTCTCATATTCTTGGTTCTTTCAGGGAAACAAAATTATAAAAATATAAAACAATAAAATTCTCACGACGTTTTGACTGCAACACAAGCAATCATCATCAGCAATAACATTTGAAAAAAGTGGCGGTTTTTTTGTTTAACATTAGCACCATAGAGAGCGATTTGGCAGTTATTCAGATGGACGAGTCCATCTATGTTCGTAAAAGAGGAGGGGGAGACGAAAATAATGGATGCGGTCTGAAAGCCACCGTAAGCGTGAACAATCAATTAAGACCCGAAATGGTTTATCAAATCCGTCCAATGATTGCTAAGCCAGAATCCATCTTCGCGATTGAAATTGTCTCTGTGTTTGTATATGTGGATAGCCTCATGAACGAATCTTCCATGGTAGCCAGATGGCTTGCAAAGAACCTCTGTTTTTCTCAATTAAAACACCATCTTTCAGAGGTCACTCACAACAGTCCTAACTAGTGGTAATGTCACGATCCGCCACTGGGTCTGAGACTAGGAAGAAAACCCGCCAGAGAGAGGAATTCTGCCGCGAAGAGGCAATGAGATAATCTAGTATACAGGTACAATAATATATATAAAACAATAAAAATTCTCACGACGTTTCGACTATAACGTCGTGAGAATTTTATTGTTATATATATTTTATTATTTTATTGTTTCCCTTCTACGTGACTTTACCGAAAGAACCAAGAATATGAATCCCTGCAGTCACGAAAGCTTTAAATCAAAATTTAACCCCCCCCCTCCTCGTCACAAATGTCTGACCAACCCCCCCCCCCCCAGGTGAGTGACGTCATTTATGGCCAGCCCCTTACAGCCCTTCCAACTCGTTTGCTAGCAAGTCCTTTGTCAGATGGCGTCACCGTTTCGGTCGTTGGCATTTGATGAAGGTGGGAAGGAGGGGGCAGTGCAAGGTCCAGGATCGGTGCAGACATCACTGGCCACTGATGATAGCCACGGTGGCTAAGAGATGTTAACTACCTCGCCTGGTATACAGAAGGTCGTGGGTTCGGTCCCGACGCCTGCTGCTGTGTATTTGGAGTTTGCGTGTCTCTCGCTCTCTCTCTCTCTCCCCCTTGATTCGAAATCAACATCACCACGCGTCTAGAGTCTTTGCCTGCTGCTCTCCGTTGCCACACGTTGATAAGCCACTTCGTTCTTTCATTTGTGGCCAGGCCGCTTCTGAAAGGAGCTATATAGCTCAGTGGGCCTTGCCTGGTAAGATTTAAACAAAAAAATTTAGTTTAACAGGTAGGCTTTCGCGACCAATATTATTCATGATAAAGGTTTTTTTGGGGGGTTAGATATAAATGTGTCATAACCCTCCACCACCCGACACGGCCAATCACGTTCGACAAAAGACAAAATCGTTCACTACTTTAGCCCACCGGTGTGTTGAAGAGTGAAATCTACAACATTTAACATTTTTTTAGTACGACGTTTCGCTGGTCATTACATCCAGCATCATCGGGCAATTTGCCAAGAATTTGTCTTTTGTGAACGTGACACATTTTAGTTTTGCTGATTGGCCGTGTCGGGTGGTGGAGGGTTACGACACATTTACAAATAACGCGATCTAACCACCCCCCCCCCCCCCCAAAAAAAACTTTATTACGAAAAAAAGTTTAGTTTAAGTTGCCGAAGTCAGTGGTTTTAACGCCCTCGGTGTTTTTACACCGAGACTCGCTGACAGTGGATCCAGCCGAACTTAAGCGACTTAAACTGATCGGACATCGAACATTGATGATCGATCCTGCGGGTTAATTTGCAAGCGCAAAGCCGTGCAAGTCGATACCCGGATCCTCATCAGTGCCGGGTTCGCCGTCCACGTCTCCCCCCCCCACTCCCCGCTGCCACCGCCGCCGTGAGCTTCCCTCTCCCTCGACTCTCCCCCTCGTCTCTCCCACGTAGGGAGAGCCCCTAGCTCACCCAACCACCCCCCGTCATCTCTCTCTGTCTGTCTGTCCGTGGTGTCACAATGTCGTCTGCGTGGAGCGGCTTCTCCGAGGAGGACCTGCGACGCATGAAGGGGCAGAGCGACACCCCAGGTGAGAAAACCTCGGCACCCCACTCCCCGCCGCCACGGCCCGGCCCTGCTGTGCAACGGGATCCCGGCGGAGAAATCAGGCGATGCCGAGGATGCGAGGCCTAGGTTCCGAACCCAACCACCACCCCCATGAAGGGGCAGAGCGACACCCCCCCCCCCTGCCACGCCGGCCCGGCCCCCAACGGGAACCCGGCAGAGAAATCAGGCGATGCCGAGGATGCGAGGCCTAGGTTCCGAACCCAACCACCACCACCACCAACCGACCCCGTGCGTGTCGCCAAATGCTCTCGGCAAGGCGATAGAGTCCGTGGTTTAAACCCCCTGGGCGTTGGTTGACAGTCGGTACGCCGAGCATTAAACTCTGTCGCACGTCAGGGCGGGTGTAGAGACGTTGGTGTGGAATAGAGGTCACTTGAACGGGATCTTAGAAGTACAGTAAGTTCTGTGAGATCCACTTCGACGGGTCGTTTTCTTACAATGGGGTAAGGGGTTGGCGGGGGGGGTTCCGAATAGATTCTTCGTTCGGGAAGAAATGAAATTGTAGGGGAGGGAATGACAAATATAATTCAACACCTACGGGCAGGTAAATATACAGGTGCATTGAATACAGACACGGAGACGGTCATGTGCATAGCATACAGGCATAACACAGGTACTGTGGCATACGCTTAGAACGCGGACAGAACAAGTGCCATGTATGCAAGACACGGGTGACAGATCACACGAGGACTTGATAGAAAACCTCGGCCCAAATCAGCCGGAATCTCCCCCCCCCCCCCCCGATGTGCGATCTCGTAAATGTTCAGCCAGATTAGTGCTTGGATCGGTGACCCGTAGACTGCACCGCGCCTGTGCTAACGTAATGTTCAGTCCAGTTGAGAAGAATCAAAAGTAAAATCTATTACTCGTGAATTTATCATGCCACGTCTATGCTCGCCGCGTTCACCAAACTGCACTAACCAGCGTGGTGTAAGTATAGTCAAGTTACATGCACAGCGTGGGATGTCCTCATCAAGCAGTGGATTGACATAAACGCACACGCGTGTAAGTTTTTTGTCAATGCAACCGTCGGAGAGATGGAGGAGAGAGACAATACAAACATGACCCAGAATAATGTGACGATCATTGAATCTCTGCCGCGGTACTAAACAACAACCATGCGACGGGTAGCCACACATTGGACTGTAGCATGACCGAGACGACGGCCCCTGTTGACACGTGGCAAGGAGAGCGGTCTTAGGCGCTGCGTCCTTCCTGCCTTCCGCCCGTACCTCCGATGAGCACGGTTGGCTACGTACGGTGCGAACGAAGTTGGTAGTCCCGAACCCATGAACCCAAGCCCCCTAAATTCTAGCCCCTAACCCTCCCAACTCTTTACCACTTACCCTAAACCCTAACCCCATCCCTAATAACAACAAAACCCCTTAACTCGAAACCATTCCCCTAACCCCCAAGTGAAGTCAGTTTATTTTTGTTTCACACGTGGTGCCTTTCTGGAACAAATCTTCCATCCAAAGCGCCATGGACATAGAAACAAACAGTTCTATATTGTGAAATAAATACACTGCGTCTATGGCTGTTTGCAGTATTTTCTCGTTCGCGAACTTGTGGCTGCGATTTTGGCTATCCGCGAATTCGCATCTGTAACTTTACACGTCTGCATCGAGAAAGAGTGATGAGAGAGAATGCGATGCGAGAAAGTGATGAGATAAAGTTATGATGCATAGCATCATAATTAATAAACGATTCTTTAATACTTCAATGTGTTTTAATTTTACTCTTTGGTCCTTTCGGTAAAGTCACATAGAAAATAAAATCAAATAATAGTGGAATACGACGTTTCGGTTGCAACACAAGCAACCATCATCAGGTAAGAGTGAATGATAAAACATAGACACGGGAACAGCATAGGCAGACACACATACAGAGAGAGAGACACACAAAGACACACCGAGCGACAAGTCTCCGCAGAAACCTTCGGCAAGTCGCGGCACCACACATGCTCAGCCTGCACATACACCAGTCACGATTCCAAACTCGCTGGGTGTGTCTTTGTGTGTGTCTTTCTCTCTGCATGTGTCTGCCTATGCTGTTCCCGTGTCTATGTTTTATCATTCATTCTTACCTGATGATGGTTGCTTGTGTTGCAACCGAAACGTCGTATTATATTATTTGATTTGATTTTCTGCAGTCACGAAAGCTTCGAATCTAGTTTTTTTCTTTGTTTATTACGACCGTTATTCCTTGGGTCTTTTCGGTAAAGTTACGTAGAACAAAATAATTAACAAAAAACGACGTTTCGATCGCAACACAAGCAATTGTCATCAGACACGGGTGACAGATCACCCCCCCTCACTAATGACGATTGTTTGTGTTGCGATCGAAACGTCGTTTTTTGTAAAAAAAATAGTTCTACGTCACTTTACCGAAAGACCCAAAGAATATTAATTCCTGCAGTCACGAAAGCTTTAAGTCAAGATTTATTATAACCAATTATATTTTCTTTGTGTTCTGATGATTTCCATTAATAGCTTATTTACGTATTTATTATCCGCGAAAAAATACTGTTCACGAGCTTCTCCAGAACGTATCCGTCGCTAATAACAATGGAATACTGGATATCTTGTTTTATTATAAACAGCTCTAAACCCTAACCCCTAAGTCCTAAGCCCTTCCCCATAACCCTAAACCATTCCCCTAACCCAGGAGTTGGCAACCAAAATAACAAGTACAGAATTTTTTTTCGAATTCGGTCAAATAAACTCCAATGTTTGAAGAGCCACAATGCATGTGAATACGAGACGGTGGTCCTTAAATGACGTCACGAAGCAGTACCTAAAGAGCTGCATGTTGCCAACCCCTACCCTAACCTCAAGCCAAAATTCCTGAATGCTAACACCACAATCCTAAACCCTGATCCCTGACCCATAACCCTACATAAAAACTAAAGAAGTGGTATTAATTCATGTTTTTTCGACTGAAAGCTAAACAAGTGGAAATTGTAAAGAATGGCGAATGGGTAAGCATAACTCAAAGAAGCTCTGTGATTGGACAATCATATGATCTTATGCTTGGATAAAAATCTGCAGGTACAGTCGTGCCAGAGACTCGGTTTATTTCTGCGCGTCTGCAGATACAAGTTAGGGTAGTGGCAGTCCAACTCTTCTCGTAAGTGACCTGTCCCATCCGCATCTCGAGGTCATTTGTGGCCATGCCGGACACGTGCTGTTGTTTCCGTCTCCAGCCGGACGCGACACCAACCGCAGCCGGCGGCACCTCCAGAAGGACGGGCGCAGTGTGCGGCGAGGAGGGCAGACGGCTCGCCCAGGAGGGACCAGGCTCGGAGTGGAGGATCGCGGCCCAGCACCTGATCCGGAGCTCGCGGCAGCCATGCTCGCACCCACGCAAGCACGCCCGGCTTCGACGCTGCACGAGGTGACGCCCTCGCACCTCCGATTAGTACGGTGGGCTACGTACGGTGCGAAAGAAGTTCAACATGCATCTTGTATATTTAGTTAATCAATTACTTCCAAGCCGCTTTCTCTCACCCCCCCCATGCAAATATTTACTTTTTTTTAATATGACTCTGTAATGCTTTCTCTGACATGGTTCAGAAGCATGGTCATTTACAATAACATGGAAGAAAAACTGAAAATCGCGCAAAGAAGCATCGAGAGATTGGGCCAACTGCAATGATATTATTCCTGTCCAGGCTGCGAGCAATGCCACACCACCGGTGGTTGAGACGAGGCCGCGTGAAAAGGAGGTGGTGACGGAGAGACTTGGTGAACCTTCTACCAAGGCCCAGCCCCGGGCGAGTGTGGAGACGACGCAATGTGGGGGTAAACAAGTGGAGGTTAAGGAGCTGGATAAGGATGAGGTGCAGAGGTGAGGCTCGCAGAAATACATTTTGCCGACGTATAATTTGCATTGTTTAAGAAATGTGTTCTCGATTTTTTTTATTCTAAAAAAAACACATTGAATGGACCTCAATGTGTAATTTCAAATGATGTAAAAATTGTTTGCGTTTCGGATTGTTCCTAATGTGATATCAGCAAAAGTTACGTTACTTTCATGGTGTCACTTATCTGCTTTTTCCACAGTACGTGACATTTTTTTCTCACTACATTAAATGTTTACACGAAGCGATTGTTTGACTGATGAATACTTTACGTGTGTTAAAATGTAATGGAAGTCGCGGGTTGTATCTGGCCCATGGGCTGCTCAAGTCACATGATTTAAAACTGCTTTTTGTGTTCAGTTTGTTGTCCTCTCACACCGCCGATTAACACGGTTGACTTCATACGGTGCGAAAGAAGCTCAACATACAGTAAAACCTTGGATTGCGAGCATAATTCGTTCCAGAAACGTGTTTGTAATCCAAAGCACCCGTATATCAGTTGTGATCACGTGACGCTCGGCAGACAAAGCGTATACGTACACTACTCGGATTGCAAGACCTCGCTCGTTTATCAAATTAATATTTATTTAAAATTTTTGCTCGTCTTGCAAAACACTCGCAGACCAAGTTACTCGCAATCCAAGGTTTTACTGTACATACATTTGGAACGTAAGATCGGCTGCTGGTGTTGTTACATGAACTGCTCCGTGTGCCGTGATTGGCTCTGCCGCAGGAGAGAGCTGACGAGGTTGGAGATGATGCAGCAGGAGCAACAGCACATGGAGGAGGAGAACAAGCGCAAGCGCAATATGCTGGCTTCTGCCATCGCAGAGAGGTACGCCACCATCATTACCATCACTCACAACATCAACAACATCGTTATCAACATCGCCATCAAACACAATCACCATCAACACAGTCAGCATACTGGCTCACACTGTAGCAGAGAGGTACATTACTACCATCAATATTGACATCAACATCACTACCATCGACAAGATACATTACATCAACACCATAAACATGAACACCGCAATATTTTACCCCATCACCATCAATATGACCATCGTCAACAGTGTGGCACTGAAACAGATATTTGTGTCTTAATTTTCTTGACCCACATTCCACCAAGAAAGCGAATAATACTCTTTGCATAATCTATCTACAAAAGACACCGAGTCTCATTGAGCTCTCACCTGGTCAACACTTTACAGAACCCACGCATACGTGTGCATGGTGTGTAACATGATCACATTGGCTGTTTATATATCACCCAAGTTTTTTTATAAGCCTCTAGTTTGTCCAGTTTTCTCCAGGCTAAGACCCCTTTTGAGCAACGCAACTTTTTAATTACATAAAAAATTTCTTTAGCTTAACTTTACGACAGCTACCCTGACCCCATGTTACAGACAGACGGACTCGGGAGACATTAACGCGCTCTCCACCTTAGTTGGGAAGCGTTCTGAAGCTGTGCTGAAGGCCGGGGTTGATGAGCGCTGTCGGGATGTGGATCAGCGCTAAGCGCACGCAGGCCGAGTCGGCGAGGATCGCCAGCGTCCGCAAGGAGCTCAACGAGCTGGACGGAGCGCTGAGCTGGGATGTTGCGCTTCTACGCAGCAAGATCGAGGAGGCCTGCATGGCGTACCACCACGCGCGGTAACATTCACGTTAACACTTACTATGTGTAGCCCTACCGCCATGCACAGTACTCCCACATGGCAATACCGTCATGCACGGCAACGTGCACACTCAAATAACTTCCGCCATGTGCGTGGTAACACATACGGTAACACATAGTATACAGCACGACCATCATGCACAGTACTCATACACGCACTGCCACCACGTACGGTAACACACACACACGTGGTACATAGTAAAAAACACTACCCCACCACACAAGGTACAAGTTTGAATATTGTCTTCTGAGGGGTGTGAAGGGTTTCAAAGCCTCAAAGGGGAAGATAAGTCTCCACAGCCTGAGGAAATCCGGCTGATCTGCTCTCTCTGCCGAGGAGCTGTGACGGGAAGTCATCATCTCTTACTAATTGGCTGTCGGGTGGTGGCATGTTTAACGACACATTTATATTTACGCGTTCTCACCACAAAATAACCCTTGTGGCTAATATGTCGCGAAAGCCTACTACTACTACGTCTAAAACAGTCCTTGCCTCTGCAACTTGGGTGTGTCGATGCGTGCCGTGGCAGCAAGCGCTACGAGCGCGCGGAAGCCGAGTTCGTCGCCTCCAAGCTGGAGCTGCACCGGCTGGATGAGCGGCGCGAGCTGCTTGCCGAGCACCTGTGCGTGGTGATCCGGCAGAGCGAGGCGCGCAAGGCGGAGCGGCTCGAGACGCTCATGAAGGCCCTGCACCTCGACAGCTCCGCGCCTCCGCCGGCCCTCGCAACGGAAGCGGACACAGCGAGGGGGGTCGGCGGGGGGGCAAAGGGGATGGCGGCTTTGGCAGCAGAGTCGGCGACGGGCGAGGGGACGGTGGCGTCAGACGCGGAACTGGTCACAGCCAAGGCGGAACGTGAGGCTGCGACAACCGGGGAGGCGGTGAAGGCGGCCGTGCCGACGGCCAGCGCAGGGGACTCGTCTGTTGACGTTGCCGTGGTCGCGGTGTCAAGCAGTTTGGTGGAGGGCGCAAGGCCACGGCCCGAAGTGACGGAGGTGAAGCAGCAAATTGTCAATGACAATGGAGCATCAACCGCGGCGGTGTGATGGGTGGAAGAGACCAATGTTAACGCAACCCTGAGGTATCTTATAAATGAAAGAGCAGCGCTCGAGTTAAGTGGACACCATTTGGTGATTACAGTGGTGAATTTAGATCATAAATAGGCGGGAAGTAGCTTTCGTAGTTGTCTTGATTCGATGCCATTCAGCCTCCACACTCATGACTCGAATGGTGTAAGGATTAGTTAGGTTTTGTATTTTGGACTTTATTGTACTGGTGAGTGTTAGGGTGAATATTAGAGTAGTTTAAAGGAATACTCAATCAATAAAGAATAGTTATTGTATTACATCTTCAAGACAATGGCAATTCACAGCAATGTGGCATACAGTATGCTTTTGAACAGGCAAAACTATTTGCACATCTATTTAAAAATCTACTTTAACTTTTTAAATCCACGGGGACATAAATTGTTTTTGTTTACATTAAAATATATATTTTTAAATACATTTATATGACCTGCCATCACCACCAAATCCACCGCTGTTGGCCCAGCCTCTACTAACCCCTCGGCTTTTCTTGACCTCCGCTCTGCGTCGCTGTTCCTTCCTCCCCCTATTCAATCTGTCGCTGCCCACCGCACGCTCTCTTGGCCCTTTCTACCTCATCAGCCACATGGCCTCAGTCCTCTGATCCCTGTGCTCTCAATCCCATCAGCCCAGGACTCAGCCCAGGACTCAGCCCCATCTGCTTCATGCTGTTATCCCAATAGCATAATTGGCTTCATACTTTTGACCATCTGCCTCATTCTCTTAGGTCTGTGCACCACATGTCTTTGAGTCCCAACAGCTCCATGCTCAAACGTATTATTTATGTACATCGTCAGAGACATCGGAGTAAAACTAAATTTATTTTACCAGGTAAGGCCCACTGACCGATACGGCTCTTTTTCAGAAGCGACTTAGCCACAAATGATAGCTCAACGAAGTGGCTTATCATCGCGTGGAAATGTATAGCAGCCAAAAACCCTAGACACGTTGCTATTATTAATCTGACACTCAAACGCTCTGCTTTCACTACTTACACTTCTGGGTTTATTTTTTAAACATTCTTTATTAATGTCGGGGTTTGTACGATTATGTATCGAGTGCAGGAGTCACGTCTTTATTTTATAAACTGGGGCTTCGTGGGCTCAAGGTCACGCACGATGCACTTGCGAGAGTGATAACGGTTTTCAGTATCGATCTGGCTGATGGATAGTTCACGTTGCACCGATGACATCCGTGGATACGAGTTTGTTTTTCCGTACCGAGAATATGGTGGCGATGCTTGTGCCCCAGAAGAAATTTGATGCAGGAGTTGAAGAGAGCGCATCTACCATGTGACTCTTGTCAAGCACTTTTATGAGCTTACCTCCATCCATTGGTCCTCTGCCACAGCAACCCTATCATGGCAGATGACTACCCCCCCCCCCCCCCACAGCACCAGCGAACACCACGTGGTGGCATTTCACACTTGAGTTGTTTCAGAACTGTAATCCAGTAGGCCCGTCGCTTCAATATTTCCAGGTCGTTGAAACAATGGTGCAAATTTCTTAAAACCGCCACACCACTGTCCATCCAGTAGGATAGATGGGTACACCGCAATTGGCAGGTCGTGTGTGGTAGCTTATGTTTGGGTACTTAGTTTTATACTGGATTCCTCCAGTATAAAATATTCTGAATGCCAAAATAACATCAAGAAATGGTTTCTAGAGCTCCCTTTAGTGGAGGCCTTTATGCCAGCAATGGCATGAACAAGCAATTTTCAGGGCCGCACCATTGCATTTCATTTTATTCTGACTTCAGGGTAAGAAACATGAATACACCAGCAGTGCTGTGGTGTCGAGATTCAAAGAACACACCGAGATGCATTACCTTTGTTTCTTAATTGTAACAATTATCTCATCTGTGCCATTGCTGTTGAGGTACACAAATATTTATTTCTGGGACTCCATACACTACAATCGCGTGAATTTTATCTGCGTTCACCCACATCTGCAAAGCCGATTGTTTTACATGAAAATTGATTCGCACCAGTTGGACGGTTTGCAAGATCAAATCCTGTTTGGGGTTAATTCAGCCATGCATTTTTCTGGGGTAGATTAAATGTTCAGGCACAGTCCTGGGTGACTGAGCTGATAAAATAAAGTTGTTACACGGTGATAGAGATTAACAAAAAAAAGGTCTTACACGCAAGAACCTGTATTAAGCTTGGGCAGGACCCCGAGATTCAAAAACCAGCATCTCAACGGTGATGGCTCAATGTTCTGATGTATCCATACTGAACTCTAATGCGCTACCCAGCCACCTTAAAGTAAACTTAATTGTTTAAAATTGCACTGAGATTGGGCGATTGAGGACTCTAACGTGGATGTGAACTACGGAACAATTCCACGTTATGTATCGAAAAGCATCGTTTTTCAACGAATGAAATTGAGTCAGTGTGTTTTGTGCGCCTCTGAATCAACAGTGATTGATGTATCCATGGCTTTTCACTGCAAGCGTTTTCAAGGGAGCTACCATAATGGCAGCATTGCTACTTAGTTTGATTGCAACGATGAGTCAATTAACATTGATTCTCATGCTCACAATGCATGCATCGCATTGTGTGTTTAAGGATCAACTATTTACAATTTTTTATGAAATGTAAATTTTACCGATATACCGATGGAACAAACAAGACCGCACGCGGGATGGGCAACACAAACCAGACAGAACTTATTGTGAAAAAAAAAGGTTTTAATCAAATAATCGCCCCCAAATCGACAAGGCTCCTAGCTAGAAATGCAAACGGAGGAGAGGAAAGCGGAGAGAGGAATGAGACGGCACGTGAGGGGCTTGGACAGAGCGGCCGAGCAGGGAGAGAGAGGAGTCGGGTGTTGTCACGAGAAGGGATCATCCGAGTAGACTACTTGATTGCGTCGATCTTGGTGGAGCCCCTTGGCGCTGTGCCCCAGCGCTGTACACACACACACAAATGCGCGCACAAAGACAAAAGATCCCCCGTATAGCCTTAACAGACTGTTGGGGCAAGTGCTGTTAGCGAACACCTATGAAGGCCGGAACGGTAAACGAGGGGGTGGGTGGCCAGCACCACGCCCAACTCCCTTCGTCTCCTTATTGGCAATGTTTACACACTGCACCAGGTACTAATTTGAGACTGAGTCAACCTAGGGGAGGCCCAGGGCCAGTGAAAATATTCGTCACTGGTGTTGGCCGTGAGTGGGAATTTAACTCGGGCCAGTGGGTTAATAGCACAGACCGCTAACTGCTACACTACCGCTCCCCACACATGCACACATGAGCATGACCAAAAAGGACGCGTGTGAACACAAACTATTCTCGAATACCGTTTTTTAGAGTGGAGTGGTGGCGCAGTGGTTAGCACCATGCACTGAACCCAGTGATCAGAGTTTGAATCCTGGCTACAACTAACGTCAGTGGCGAGTGATATCTTGAACCAGTCCTTCACGCCACCTCCCCATCCTTTTCGAACCCGCACAGACCAACGTGGTGAAGTATGTTCGTATATAACCCCCCTATGATGAACCTGGCATGGGGAGGCCTTCGTTGAAACAATGGATGTAAATTCAAAACACATGGGCGATGTATTTACACTTCTTGCAAGCTCACGCAGACAAACACATGTACTTGATGGGAAGTATTGTGAGAGATTGAATGCTTTTAAAATATTTTCCTATATTTTTCTACAATATTCACCGAGTTATCCCCCTTTGGCATGTAGGCACAGAGTCAATCATCTTCCACTCTGGTTGTAATCTCACAACAGCAATGCCACACATGCCAAGTTGGAGAACAGCTCAGAATTTACATTGCAGGTATTTGCCCAATATCCTTGAAGGGTCTATCTTGGTTTTCTATGTGTCTCTTCTTAATAAGTTCTCAGAGTAGGATTTGACTGACAAATTCACAACCAAGTTTAAATATACATTTATGTACAATGTACACATTATTATATATATAGTGCATTGGATAAGATGACCAAAAAGAACCGGGATTTATCTTGGTTGGGAATCCATGATCAAGGCCAGGACCACAGCAGTCCTAATCCTGGTGTCAAACATTGTGCAGTCCCTTGTATATCTGTGATGCAATTACATGACACTCGGGAACTGTCTGTGAAGGATGTGCAAAAGAAGTCCAACATACACACATTTGCAGGGACATTTGTTGTGGTTGTAAAGGTGACAATCTATGCAAGGTTTGTTGATGGTGTTGATTATATTAATCCAATGTTTTTTATATTAAAGGTATATCATGAAAGGTACTTAAAAGTGTGTAATTATGTGTAAGGTTATTGATTAATAAAGGTTTAAAATTATATTTGAATAATTTCTGCAATATCTATTTTAGCAAAAGACTGTTCATCTGAGTAAAACTATCACTCAGCCACACCACATACGAAACACCCATTCACTACCAAACAAACTATCGACACAGCACACAACCACTGCCTAATTACCCATCCACCCAGCTGACTATCCGCACAACTCACTACCCACGCAACCAGCTCACTACATACCCAGCTGACTATCACCCACTCACTACTCAACCACTCGGCTCACCATCACCTGCCCTGTTTATTTAGGCCATGTCATCACATTCGACCCAACACCACCCCTTCCCCCGTCTCTATTGGAGGTGGTGGCTGAGATTACCCAGAGTGCTCCAGGGCGACGTCCCAGCTGTGGCCTCGATCTTGGGCTGACGGCGCGCAAGGGACACGCGGAGACGCACGTCCGACACCACAGCCCCATTCATCTGTGCATAGCGACATCGCGACACGATTACATGTGTACATGCTACATCCATGACACTGTTATAAGTTTACATGCTACATACAATACAACACAACACCGCTACACATTGACATGCTACATCCATAATGACACACGTTTACATGCTACATACCACACAACACCACTACACATTGACATGCTACATCCATGACACTGTTACAAGTTTACATGCTACATACAACACAACACCGCTACACATTGACATGCTCCATCCATAATGACACACATATACATGCTACATAGAGTGAGGGAAAAAAGTATTTGATCCCCTGCTGATTTTGTACGTTTGCCCACTGACATAGAAATGATCAGTCTATAATTTTAATGGTAGGTTTATTTGAACAGTGAGAGACAGAATAACAACAAAATCCAGAAAAACGCATGTCAAAAATATTATAAATTGATTTGCATTTTAATGAGGGAAATAAGTATGTGACCCCCTCTCAATCAGAAAGATTTCTGGCTCCCAGGTGTCCTTTATACAGGTAACGAGCTGAGATTAGGAGCACACTCTTAAAGGGAGTGCTCCTAATCTCAGCTTTTTACCTGTATAAAAGACACCTGTCCACAGACGCAATCAATCAATCAGATTCCAAACTCTCCACCATGGCCAAGACCAAAGAGCTCTCCAGGGATATCAGGGACAAGATTGTACACCTACACAAGGCTGGAATGGGCTACAAGACCATTGCCAAGCAGCTTGGTGAGAAGGTGACAACAGTTGGTGCGATTATTCGCAAATGGAAGAACCACAAAATAACTGTCAATCTCCCTCGGCCTGGGGCTCCATGCAAGATCTCACCTCGTGGAGATGCAATGATCATGAGAACGGTGAGGAATCACAACACCGCTACACACTGACATGCTACATACAATGACACCACTACACATTGACATGCTACATACACCACGGCAGCACTGCACGCTCACATGCTACATACAGCACGAAACCAATGCATGTTCAGATACATTTGGAACAAAAATGTAAACATGAATGGAAAATAAACTATAACATGTGCAATTTAATGTAAAATATCACGGCTATGTACAGCCCTTTTGTCCATTTACTGCTGGATGAGGGCCTCCCCACGGCATGTAGATTATGGGGGTTATTTAACCATACTTCACCATGCTGGTCAGTGCTGTTTGATGAAGTGCGAGGGATGGAGGGATAGCCGTAGCCAGGAATTGAGCCTAGGTCACCAGGTTCATAGGGCAGTGTGCTAACCACTGCGCCATTGCTCCACCAGTGAAGGCTGTGACAACGCACGGATCGGGGGTGTGGTCGTCATCACGCCTGGCCGCCTTTGTCTCACCAGTACTGATGTGAGCACACTGCACCAGGCACTTTGTGAAAGGCCAGTGCTCGCCGAGCTGCATTGACTTCTGGTTGCCGAACGAATACATCATAAGGTCTCACTCATGACACACGGAGTGCTTGCTACAAATGAACCACAATACCTTGCTGATCTCGTCAAGAAGCACAAACCATCACGCGAACTCCGGTCATCATCGCAGCAACTTTTGGCTAGCCAACAAAACAAAGGCGGTCACCGCATCGTGCACTCCGAGATGCTCTTCTGCGGCTGGCAGGAACGCACTTCCTTACGATATTAGGAAGCAACTGGAGCTATGCACTTTTAAATCTAGATTGAAAACGAATTTCTTTAGAACTGCTTGTGTGTTTAGTTTTGTTGTCCTTCCCCCACACCTCCAAATAGCACGGTTGGCTACATACAGCGCAAAAGAAGTTCAACATACATACACACAAACCCACCGCACACTATATGTGTCTTTGTGCTCTCACCTCTGCTATGGCTTGGTCGGCAGACTCCATTTTCTCGAACGTGACAAATCCACAGCTGTACGCATACACAGCAAGTACGCGGAGATTGTGATGACGAACAGATATGAAGAGATGCTTCTCCCACTGACACAACACAGCGCCACTTACTCCAGAGATCCTGTGTACTGTAGCTTCAGAGTATGCCTACTACAGCATCACCAATGCCCGTGTAATGGTATGATGCTGTTAGTATTGTGGCGCTGCGGTGTTGTGCTGTAAGAGCGTCATGTCATCGTGGTGTGGTGGTGGGTGTGTTGTAGTAATGGCATTGTGTTGGAGTGGTATGGCATTGGTTGTGTTGATGGTGGCGGCACATCACAGTCGTAGTGACGATGTGATGATGGTAATGACTGCAGTGGTGATGATGTGTTGGAGGTGTGTTTTGCAGTTGTAGAGGTGACGTTGTGGTGTAATGGCGTCATGTTTTATATTCTTCTTTGGTTCTTTCGGTAAAAGTCACGTAGAATGAGAATAAAATAATAAAATAAAACAATAAAATTCTCACGATGTTTCGGCCACAACACAAGTGGAACAAACCTGTCTGGACGACAAAGCTTCATTGTACATTGTAGCTCTGTCGTCCCGACAGGTTTGTTCCTTTCACCTTAAGAAGGCCACTTGTGTTGTGGCCGAAACGTCGTGAGAATTTTATTGTTTTATTTTATTATTTTATTCTCATTCTACGTGACTTTACCGAAAGAACCAAAGAAGATGAATCCTTGCAGTCACGAAAGCTTTAAATCGAAATGTTTTATATTCTTGGTTCTTTCGGTAAAGTCACTTCGATAGAAAATAAAAGAATAAAATAAAATTCAAATAATTTTTTTTATTTTTATTTCTATCTACGTGACTTTACCGAAAGAACCAAGAATACGAATTCCTGCAGTCATGAAAGTTTTAAGTCATGTTGTATGTTGGTCGCATTAGCGGTGTGACGGTGTCATGTCATTGTGATGCGTTGAAGTAATAGAGTTGTGTTTTAGTGCTGTGTTGTTGTTGGTATGTAGGTGGCATAACGGTGTTATGTCATCGCCGTACTGCTCTGTTAACATAATGCTGTTGTGTTACAGTGCTGTGGTCCTGATGTGTTGGGGGTATCATGGCATTGCAACGGTGATGTTTTTGAAAACTCATCTCTAAATTGAAAACTCATTTCTTTTGAACTGCTGTTTGTGCTTAGATTGTTGTACTTCCCCCGCGCCTCCGATTAGCACGGTTGCCTACGTACGGTGCGAAAGTAGTTAAACACACATACGTGCATGTGGTGCAAAGGTGTCGTGTTGCTGTAGTGTTGGTGTGTTGGCAGCGTCACAGGCACATGTTGCGGTAGACGATGTGATTGGTGCTCGTGCCTGCGAGCGCGCTCCATGGTGACGTTGAGGACCGGGCCTATGGAGCTAAAGGCCGTCTGCAGGATCTCGTCCGTGATCCCAGAGCCGTTCACGTAGATCGTGTTCCCCCTGCGAGGCTCACGCCGCTCCGACGAATCTTCGCAAGGCACACATGCACGGGAACAAAACAAAGATCCCCCGTGTAGCCTTTAACAGACTGTTGGGGCAAGTGCTGTTAAGCGAGCACCTATGAAGGCCGAAAGGCACACGAGGCGGTGGGGTGGCCAGCACCATGCCCGGCCGCCTTTGTCTCCCTAGTGATGATGTTTACACAGTTTAACACGGAGGCTTTCGCGACCAATATTATTCATAATAAAGGTTTTTGGGTTAGATCGCGTAAGTATATATGTGTCGTAACTCTCCACCACCCGAGGCAGCCAGCAAGGTTTGTCACGTAAACGGCGCGCCAATTAGTTAACTACGTCAGGCCACCGGTCTGTTTACACACCACACCAATGTACTCATTGGAGGCTGAGGCGACCTAGGGCAGGCCCAGGACCGGTGTTGATGGTGGTATTGATATTTCTGGTGGTGTTGATGATGTGTCTGGTGGTACTGATGTTGATGGCGATGACGTTGCCGGTGGTGTCGATGGTAATGATGTTGTGGATATTGCTTCTGACTCCCCGATAGATATTCACCCTCTCCCACCCCAAGCATGATTCAATGAATTGTTACGATTGATGGTTGTCTGTCTTGTTTGTAGCCCCATTCGCTGGATTAGCTTAAATGTAAAATGTGCATATACTTAGCAAACATCCTTTTACATTGTACATGTAAAAGTTAAAGAGAATTCACCCTCCTTTCAATTCGATTAATCAGCATAATTTTAGGCCATGATTTGATTAAATAATCAAGTTTTTGTTTGCTATTGCAGTGCACGTATAATTTACAATGGCTGCAGCGTTCACATGCAGCTAATACAAGTACGAAAATAACTGATTCTTACTCGCGTGATTTGATTCATGTATCGTGTGCTTCATATATATATTTTTTAATCGATCAATCATTTTTAAGCCAAGTGCCGTTGGTGGAGATTCTCACGTCTCTCTCGGTCCCACCCTCTGTCATCCACGCGCTCTGCATCTTCCATCGATGAGTTCTCATGCTCACGGCCACTCACAAAGCTGCATCAGCAAAACAGAGTAACATCGGAAATCACCGACATCGGCAAACGCCAATATTCACATCAACACGTACTGCTTTTTGTGTTTAATTTTATTGTCCTTCCCCCGGACTTCAGATTAGCACGGTTGCCTATGTACGGTGCGAAAGAAGCTCAATATACAATCACCACCATCGCATTCACATTACTACCATCACATCAATTTTCACTCAAAACACATGAACATCACCACCACTGCATCAACAAAATAGCAGAAACGCCATAACCACCATTATTACATCAACATTAGCAGTGACCACGACCAAAATAATTTCAAAAACCACCACCACCGTAACACACTGCCTTCAGATCAACATCACCACCATCAAAACCAGCAATGCCACCGTTAGGATTCTGCTCCCATACCTCTCGTAGAGATTCTTCACTTGTGGCCGGCGCACGTTAGCCTGGAAGACGGGAGACAGAAAAAATCGGCAACAATAAACATGCACATGGGCTCTCTCCACTGATCCCACTCAAATAGCTATTACCCATTCAGTTCTGGAGTAAGTGAGAGCGAGGCAATTACATTACATCATCAACGTTCGCAGTTAATGTATTATTTTATTGTGTAACGTACAGAAATCCGCACGATAAGCATCATAACTTGTCAAGCTGGAATGGTTACAAGACTCATGCTCGTTTAATAACTATTTTTTTGTAATCTATATTCACACGGGAAACACAAAAAAATATACACTAAAAATGTGAAATACAATAACAAGGATTTGAGAAACTGATCTCACGATAATTGTCATATCCTGATAATGAATATCGTATCATTATGTGAATAATTATATCATCACAACCTTACTGACTACTCAATGAAGCCAGTAGCAAATCAGAATTTAACCTGACCTGCACCTCACCTTGGTGAACTGGTTTGGCAGTTTTGGCAAATATTAACACTGCCCGCGAACACCCTGTGGACTAACAGGTATAAAACAGTAGCATTTCGGTTGTGTGCAATTGTGCGCGTAATTCGTGTGCTTTGTGTTTAAGTGCACACATGGGAGTAACCACAACCTCCGTGGCCTCATCCTCGGCAGAAACGCTTCTCTGGAACGGCTGAAATGAAGGCGGTTTCTCCTTCTCTGGGTCCTGAATGCAAACACAGCAGAAAAATCACATCGGCACAACGCAGATGGTACCAACGTGATTCATGTAAACGCAATGCGATCTTTATAAGCATTCTCTTGGGAGATCAGTACAGCACAATAATGCATTTTTGCTGCACTTCTCTATGCTCGCCACAGCGTAGCCCCGCAAAAGCCTACAACACTCGCTGAGCTTCCGAGATCCGATGAGATCAGGTACATTCCAGGTGATCAAGACATCGGCTGTATGAAACTAACAGATATACATTGCATAAAGTAGACTGGGTCGGCCCTGCTGAACTGCATTGCTGAATTATCTGGCTCATGTATTCTCAACACAAAGGTCTGTACAGTAGCCCATATAACCCCGTTTGACTGCACAGAGGAGCAAATTGCGATGCCATGGGCTCGAGAGGTTGACTGACTTGGTGAAAGATCTAACATTGTGCGAGGAGCCCAATGGCGATCACCAGCATTTAATATTAATCACTGGCTTATAGTTGGGAGACAGCATTTGACTACGTGGTACCTTGACAAACAGGGAGATCTGTTGACATGAATGTCAACTTTTGGAAATACTCCCAGTTTCAAAACACCACGCTGCACTGTGCAATCTCCAGCTACAAGAGCAAGACATGGCTCCACTCTTTATGCACATCGGGTGCAGCAGAGGGCAGTGCAGAAATTTGCATTGTTGTACCGTACTTCCGTGCTCCCATGTCTAAGCCTCCCCCGACACCAACATGCCATGAAGCATGGTCAATAACACTCACCACTCGCATGGTGTGAGGAGGCCATCAACCAGCAGTGGAGAGAGAAAGGGCTGCACGCATACATGTGTGTTTCTTTGTGATGAATGGTGGCGGTGTAGCAGTTAGCGCTACGCTGCGCTATGAACCCGGCGATCCGAGTTCGATTCCCGCTCACAGCCAACACCAGTGATGATTATCTGAACCGGTCCTGGGCCTCCCCTTGATCGACTCAGCCTCAAATGAGTAACTGGTGTTGTGTGCAAACATCGCCACTAGGGAGACAAAGGCGGCCGGGCGTGGTGCTGGCCACCCACCCGCTTGTGTGCTGTGCCGGTCTTCATAGGAGCTTGCACACATCAATTGCCCCAACAGTCTATTAAGGCCATACAGGGGCTCTTTTTCCATGCATGTGATGAACGGCAGCCACCGATGTTTTTTGTGAGGGTCTGTGAGCACCTTGAGCTTTCCCTCCAGCGTGCGCGAGCGCTTGAAGCCGGAGCTCTTGGTCTCGGGCCGGATGGCGCTGATGGCGCCGCTCTTCATCAGCTTCTTCGCCTGCTCCGTGGCTGCGGCTCCATCCACGGTCGGCTGCTCCGACACGGCTGGCGCAAAAACCACCATCACCACCAACCAGAACCATCAACGCCGTCACCCGAGCAATCATCACTATCATTACAACCATAACTATCAACACCACCACCAGAATCATCAACGCCGTTACCCGAGCAATCATCACAACCAGAACTATCAACACCACCACCATCACCACCACCAGAACCATCATTCCCACCACCATGAACATCAACACTGCCACCACCCTCATAATCAACACCCCTAAAACCACCATCATAACCATCAACACCACGACCATCAGATTCGTTAACACCACAATCATCATAACCCTCAACACCACTACCAGAACAATCAATACTTCAAGCACCATATTCACCATCACGGATACTGATATCATTAGAACAACCACCTTTATCACAAATATCACTATACCGATCATCACCACCATCTTCATCACTCAGGCCAACATCAGCAGAACCATCAAGACCACAACCATTTCCAGTTGAACACCAACAGCACCAATTTCATAACCAACATCAATATCAGAACCTGCATCACCACAAAAATGAACCACGAACACTAACAACGAAACCCTACATAACCTTTAACAATAACATAAAATTGACACCACAAACCAATACCATAAACACAACTGGTTGTGATTATGGCAATTTCTGGTATTATTAATGGGTGGTTCGTGATGGAAAAAGTTGAGTATGATGATTGTGGTGGTTGTGATTATGGTAATAGTGGGTTTAGTGATGTTGGTGATAGTGTTGGTGATAGTTGTGAAGACCGTCGTGATGACGGTAATTGTTTTGTTGATTGTGATGACAGGGGTAATAGTGATGGTAATGGTAAGGTAGCCGTTGTGATGGTTATAGAAGTGGCTGTCATGGTGGCGGTGTGGATGATGTCGACGATTAATGTACTGCATCACTCACATCGCTTTAAGCCGCTCTGTGTAGACGGATTTGCCGTGCTTTGTTTCTTTAAGGCCATGACTGCTTTTTTCTGAAATTCACACAAGGTGCATGCAGCGACTCAAACTCTGGTCATCAGGTGTGCGTTTCTCATCAGCAAACCAAAGCTAATGGTAGCATTGTCAACTGTGTGCCTACATTTTTCTCTCTGTATCAATCCCTCGCCATGTCTCTATATCTGCCTCTGCTGGTATCTGCGTCACTGTCTCAATGTCTCCCCATGCATGTGACTCTCCATCTGTCTCTCCACGCTTGCTTCCTTCAGGTCCTCCTGTGCGAATTCCTAGCTTTATATCTCAATTTATTGTATCTATGTATCCGTGTCTTTCTCTCTGGGTCTCTCTCAATGTCGATCTACATCTCTTTTTGACTAAATCGTCTCTCCAATGTCCCTGTATCTCCGTGCCTCAATGCGCGTCTCCGTATCTGCATTTCTGTCACTGCATTTATCCCCGTGTCCGTCTGCTTGACTCCTTGTGTCTCTCCTTGTCTATGTCATTCCCTGTCTCTCTTTCAGACCTGGGTGTCAATAATTGTAATTGATGATGGAACGAATGCAACAACGTGATTGTGATCTCAGCAAACGATCTTGCTGGTTGTTATTACAGTCATACCTTGGTATACGACCGCTTTGGAATACGTCGAAATTTGGTATACGTCGTGTTTTGACAAGAAAAAAATGTCTTGGGATACGACGCCTTGCTTGGGATATGACTCGCTGCTTGCTAGAACTTGTATGGGTCGGGATGAGTCGCCGCGTCCCCGCGTAGACCCCGTTCACGACTGAGACAAAGCGCCGCTCGCTCCTCAGTCTGCCTGTAGATCTCGTTCAGTGCACAACCCCCTTGCTGTAACTCTCTGTGAATTTTCACGTGTTTTTTGTCATTTTAATGTATGTATGCATGTTAGTAATAAGTTGTCGTCTACATTATTTAATACAATCCCATTAATGTTTAATATGCCATGTAAAGTATCATTTCTTATACTCTGGAACGAGTTATTTCCTTTCCCTTTATTTATGGGAAAAATTCGTTTGGTATATACGTCATTTTCGATACAAGTCCTCCTACCTTCTGGAACGAATCAACGACGTATACCCAGGTACCACTGTACAACTGATCCACAAGTCAGTCTCTTCTGTATTTCCATATCTGTGCTTGCGTCCATCTGTCTCCAAGTGTCAACGTCTCCACGTCTTTTTCCCAAATCTGTCTCAATCACGTTTTCTCTCTTCTGTCTATCAAGTGTCTCAGTCTATTGACCACTCTTATTTTGCCAGAAAAGCCCCACAATAGCTCAACGAAGTGGCTCGTCGTGTAGAAATGTAAAGCAACACAAATACTCTTAGACGCAAGTTTTCTAAACATGGAGGGAAATAAAAAAAACCCTGGAGGGCCCGGAGGCGAAAACCACGCAACCACGGGGAGAGGGTCACGCAAACGCCAACTATACATAGTTTAGTTTGTTTAGTTTCATAGTTTCATTTATTTGGTATAGCCCTGTGAGCCATTCGGCTCTTGAATCGGGTGCAACCGCAACAAACAAAAACATGAACAAGAAAAACATCTTAAAGTGACTTTGCGCATGTGCAAACAGAAAATCCAGGAAAAAAAAAACATCAAAATATTCCTGAAATAAGCACCGTACACCAACGCTGGGATTCATACTCTTTGGTTTGTTCGGTAAAGTCACGTAGGTAAATTAAAATAAATGAAAACAACTAAATAAAATCACGACGTTTCAGAGACGACACAGCTGTGACTGTTCTTTTTTGCTGTGACTGTTCCACCTGAAGATGGAAGCTTGTTTTGCCCCCGAAACGTCGTGATTTAAGTTAGTTGTTTTCATTTATTTTATTTTACCTATGTGACTTTACCGAAAAAACCAAAGAGTATGAATCCTTGCTGTCACGAAAGCTTCAAATCTAGAATTATACAGCAGGGGTCAGGATTGGGATCGAACCCATGTCCCCCCTCCTGTTACACCAGGATAAGGGGCCGTCCATAAATGACGTCACGCAATTTGCCGATTTTTGACCCCACCCCCCCCGTCGTCACAAAAAGTCAGACCCCCCCCTCAAATATGACGTCACAAAGCTCTGCCCCCCCCCCCAAAAAATATATGCTTCAAATCTCTTTAAACTATTGTCATTGTAGTGCGTATTTAATGTGGCGCTGTACTCTGATGTTGCAAGAGAAAACATTTATCAAAAAGTGTATTTAATTAAGCAAAACGTGTTGTCTGTATTTATGTAAAGTTGCTCATTTTGACGTGGCGTCACATTTCTCAACCCCCCCCCCCCTCGTCACGCATCGTCACAAATGTCTGACCCCCCTCCCCCCACCCCTAGGTGCGTGACGTCATTTATGTACGGCCCCAAACCTATCGTTCTGTGTATCCTTTTTCTGTTGTAACCTGCCGACCCGCCCAAAACCGGAGAGGGACCCTTCCTATCTTGCGTCTCATCTCTCCCACGCGTCTCCACCAAATGTCACCTTCTTCTTGAGCTTGGCGAATTTCTTCTGCAGTGTCTCCTCTTCCTCCGAGAAGGAGCTCGGGAAGATCATGATGATGATGACGACGACGACTGCTCCACCGGGCCCCTGAAGGACAAAACAAAAAACGTCCAAGAACGACGCGAACGTCACCGCCACGCCACCGAAGAACGAAGATTCACCCCACTACAGCTGCTGTAGTATTACGAATGTACGATCCACTACCACTGCACTATCGCTACCACACTAACACCACCACCACCACATTAACACCACTGCACTACAGCTGCGATTCTAACATCACGGCCACTGTAATCAAGCTACCACTAACACCAAGAACACTCTAACACCACCACCACGCTAACAGCACCATCAGTCTAACACCAGGACCAGTCTACACCACGCTAACACCACCACCAACACTCTAAACACCACCACGCTAACAATACCACCAGTCTAACACCACCACCAGTCTAACACCAGGACCACTCTACACCACGCTAACACCACCACGCTAACACCACCACCAGTCTAACACCACCACCACGCTAACACCACCACCACGCTAACACCACCACCACGCTAACACCACCACCACGCTAACACCACCACTACTCTAACACCACCACCACGCTAACACCACCACCACGCTAACACCACCACCACGCTAACACCACCACCACTCTAACACCACCACGCTAACACCACCGCACTAACACTACCACCACCACTCTAACACCACCACCACGCTAACACCACCACCACTCTAACACCACCACCACTCTAACACCACTACCACGCTAACACCACCGCACTAACACTACCACCACCACTCTAACACCACCACCACTCTAACACCATCACCACTCTAACACCACCACCACGCTAACACCACCACCACCACTCTAACACCACCACCACTCTAACACCACCACCACCACGCTAACACCACCACCACCACGCTAACACCACCACCACTCTAACGCCACCACCACTCTAACACCACCACCACGCTAACACCACCACCACCACTCTAACACCACCACCACGCTAACACCACCACCACTCTAACACCACCACCACTCTAACACCACCACCACGCTAACACCACCACCACTCTAACACCACCACCACGCTAACACCACCACGCTAACACCACTCTAACACCACCACCACGCTAACACCACCACGCTAACACCACCACCACGCTAACACCACCACCACCACGCTAACACCACCACCACGCTAACACCACCACCACTCTAACACCACCACCACTCTAACACCACCGCACTAACCGCTGCGAATCTAACGCCGCGAGCACGGCACCGCCGACACACAGAGACACACCGAGAGAGAGACACACAGAGAGAGACACACAGAGAGACAGACACACACAAAGAGAAACACACAGAGAGACACACTGAGAGAGACACAGAGAGATAGACACAGAGACAGAGAGACACACACAGAGACACGCACCGAGACACACACACAGAGAAACACAGAGAGATAGACACAGAGAGAGACACAGAGAGATAGACACAGAGAGAGACACACAGAGAGATAGACACAGAGACAGAGAGAGACACAGAGACACACAGAGAGAGACACAGACAGACACAGAGAGAGACACACACAGAGACACGCATCGAGAGAGACAGAGAGAGAGAGAGAGACACAGAGACACACAGAGAGACACACAGAGAGAGAGACAGAGAGAGACACACAGACACACAGAGAGACACACACAGAGAGAGACACACAGAGAGACACACAGACACACAGAGAGACACACACACAGAGAGACACACAGAGAGACACACAGACACAGAGAGAGAAACACAGAGAGATAGACACAGAGAGATAGACACAGAGAGAGACACACAGAGACACACAGAGAGACACACAGAGAGACAGAGACACCGAGAGAGACACAGAGACAGAGAGACACAGAGAGACAGAGAGACACACACAGAGAGACACACAGAGATACACACAGAGAGAGAGACAGAGAGAGAGACACACAGAGAGACAGAGAGACACACAGAGAGAGACACACAGAGAGAGACACACACAGAGAGAGACACACAGAGAGACACACAGACACACAGAGAGAGAGACAGAGAGAGACACACAGAGACAGAGAGAGAGACACAGAGAGAGAAACACAGAGAGATAGACACAGAGAGAGACACAGAGAGAGAGACACACACTGAGACAGAGAGAGACAGAGAGACAGAGAGAGAGACACAGAGACACACAGAGAGAGACAGAGAGACACGCACCGAGAGAGGCGCCTCGGCGTCGCCCGGCAGTGACGTCGGGGATCGTCATCGGGCGCCGAGCGCCTCGCCAGCGCCTCGCCTCTCGATTCACAGCGAGCTCGCGATTGGAGTGCGCGCGCATCGATTACTTTTGATTTACGGCCAGTGGTGGGGAACCTTCTTTCTGCCAAGGGCCATTTGGATATTTATAACATCATTCGCGAGCCATACAAAATTATCAACTTAAAAATAAGCCCGATATATTTGGTCAAACATTTAATTAACTCACCCCTAATGTGATGGCTGGACGGGACTAATTAATTTGCGGGCCTTATACGGCCCACGGGTCGGACGTACGCCAACAAAAAAAATGTGGACTTCATCATAATCCATCATAATCTTGATTTGAAGTTTTCGTGATTGCAGGGATCCATATTTTTTGGTTCTTTCGGTAAAGTCACGTGACTTTATCCATCATAGTGGGTGGGGGGGGGTTTGTTTCGGTCGTCTAAGTATAAATGTGTCGTTAAACCCGTCACCACCCGACACCGCGGGTTTGTCACGTTAACAGAACGTGCCCATTCGTTACGAGCACAGCGCAACCGGTGTGTTGGAGAGTAAAACCCACAACATTTACAATTCCAGTACGCCGTTTCGCTAGTAATTGCCACTAGCATCTTCAGGTGACAGTGAAATTGAACTTGGTAATATTTTTCAAAATATTTTACCCGGAAAGAAAATCGCGCGAGATTATTAAATGAGGTTTTCTTTGTTTTTACATGGGTGTCCATTTACACTAACGTGTATTTCAAACACATAATGGTATGTAATCGATCATTTAAATCGATTAACATATTTTCCGGAGCTCAGCCCTCGGATAAGTTTAATCCTTGATCATAGCTATCAACCCATACGGTTTACCCCGTATTCTTGTACAGGGAAATGTAGTTTTAAAGTCTATACGGCGTACAGCCGTTTCAATACGGGCAACAACATTGTTTATTTGTTTGTGTTTCTCCCTTGTGATGGGACTTTGTAAGATGAACGTTGAGATTTATAAGGGCACGGGGCGACCAATAAGGTCTAAATTGGTGTGTAATAAGGTAGGCACTCATAAGGGGTTGACAGGTATGCCTGATTGACATCGATTTAGGCCGCGCAGACCATTACCCCCACCCAAGTTCGCGCGTGTCCATGCATTTCCCCTATTCGTGATTGCCATTCAGATCATTGCGTTGTTTCGTTGTATTTGGTGTGATATTGTGTTATCGCTTAAATCGCAAGCAAACCAATTATTTTTGACGGACGATTTCATGTTCGTATCTTAAGGTACGATTCACCCGCTTTCCTTCAGTGTTATGGATTGTGTTTGTGTTTTGCAACTGTTGAATTTTAATCTTTGTAACGAAAGCGTTTAAATACCTTCACCAAAGATTTCCGTGGAGCAAAACAATCAGGCGACAGCCAGATTTGTGGAGAAATCATCCTGTTTCGGTCTTAATTAGAGGGATAAATGTGATGTCGTCACTTGTGAGCGAATCAGGTGCGACGGCCGGAGAGGAGGATGTTTAACTAATGCATATACATTACAATGGGTATCCACTGCCGGTTGGGTTATTCATGGTGCAATCAACATACATTATGCATGTACATTGTGCATGCACGACACACATGTACAAACCTGCCGTATGGTGACCTGTATAGGCATGCAAACGGTGTATGACTTGATAATTCGCTTCCAAGCAGCGCTAAGCCCGTAGCTAATCCGGCTGTCGCCTGATGATGCTAGTTTGTAATTACTGGCGAAACGTCGTACTCGAACTGTAAATGGTGTGGGCTTACTCTCCAACACACCGGTGGGCTGAAGTAGTAAACTAATTGGCACGTTTTGTTTACGTGACAAACCTTAACGGCTGTAAATTTCGATTTAAAGCTTTCGTGACTGCAATGATTCATCTTCTTTGGTTCTTTCGGTAAAGTCACGTAGAATGAGAATAAAATTATAAATTGATTTTATTTTATCAGTAATATTTGATCAATAATATTATTATTATTGTGTTATTTTATTTTATCAATTTATTATTTTATTCTCATTCTGCGTGACTTAACGGCTGTGTCGGGTGGTGGCGGGTTACGACACATTTATACTTAACGCGACCTAACCCTAAAAATCCTTTATTATGACTAGATAAGTCCAGTACAATAACGACGATTTTTAATCTTTAAAAATGAAGATTCTGACTGCCGACATCACACAAAGTGCTGCTTCTATCCAACGGAGAGAGGACGGAGTGATATTCATCTTGAACTGCAAGGTTAGTGATGGCAAGATTTAAACGTTGCAGGAGCTTAATACCGATTGGAATCTAGATTTGAAGTTTTTGTGACTGCAGGGATCCATACTCTTTAGTTCTTTCGGTAAAGTCACGTAGGTATAAAATAAAATTAATTAAATCACGACGTTTCGGGCGCAACACAAGTGCCCGTCATCAGGTAGGACAACCACAGCAATAAACAAATAAACAATTGCTGTCGATGTTCCACCTGATGACGGGCACTTGTGTTGCGCCCGAAACGTCGTGATTTATTTATACCTACGTGACTTTACCGAAAGAACCAAAGAGTAATGATTGGAATATATAAGATGGCTAAACGATCTCATTGTACACTTAATTTGAACTGTCTGCTCGCGTGTAATACATTCCTCCAAAAACGAACACTGAAAAACGAATTACGTGCTATATAGATAGGCACCACTACGTGATTCGCATTTTGAATGGCTCCGTCGCGTTCAATGTAAAGCCTTGGAGAAGGCTCTACAAGCAATGATCATAGCAGGCGCATATTACAAAATGTTTTCCCTTTATTGCGTGGAGTGCACGTACACAATACACCCTCAAATATTTTATAATACCATTTTGATACTAGGTTGTTGGGGGGGGCTGCCTATGGCGCCCCCCCCCGAACAACCACAGCCTGCGGCGCCCCCAAAAACCACAGCCTGCAGCGCCCCCCAACAACCACAGCCTGCAGCGCCCCCCAAAAACCACAGCCTGCGGCGCCCCCCAGCAACCACAGCCTGCGGCGCCCCCCAACAACCACAGCCTGCGGCGCCCCCCAACAACCACAGCCTGCAGCGCCCCCCAGCGCTGCAGGCTGTGGTCTTGGGAAGTGTTGGGGGGGGGTCCCCCTCCCCCTCAGCCCCCACCCCTGGGGGCTCTGGGGTGTCAACTTCCGGTCACGGGTGGGGGGAAGGCTCTTATCTTAAGGGGTCTTATGGGGGGTGGAGGATTTCCCCCTCAGCCCCCACCCCTGTCGGCCCGTGAGCGTGGTGGCAGCTCAGCTGCCCACAGCGCCTTATTACGGCGCAACATCACCTGGGGGGCGTACATGTTTGTGAGGGGCGCACCTCTGGTTGGCTGCTTGCTCGCGGTCACTTGATGCACTTCAACCAATCCGTGCCGCGTTAATCACACAATGACAGTCACAGAATGACAGACCTGGGTGTTTATATATTTATCCCCCCCCCCCCCAGCCGTGCATTTGTGCGGGATATACACGGCCTACGCGGAGGGTTTGGGGGGGGGTGCGTGACGTCAGCAGGCACACTGCATAACGCTGCCGGCATGCGGGTGACATGACAGAGATGTGACGTCACCGCTCACTTGCATGCAAAATATAGCCATTTTTGCGCCCCCCGCCCCCCCAAAAAACGAAAGTCATTTTTTATACGTTTTGCATTGTGTACAGTCTGGAAACTACCCACATTCCAAATTTCAAATTTGTTGCATGTTGGGAAGTATGCTAAATATTTCGAACATACACACATATTCACAAATTTCCCTTTTATAAATAGAAGATATCGTGATGTATGCAACTGATTAAATTACTGTTCACCATCCACAACAACAAATGTTGTTACTACGAGGGGCCAAAACCTGCGAATAACAAAAACAAGATTTATTTTGGGGGAATCCAATGGGTAGTCGGGGCAGGTTAGCGAGTTACCAACAACCAACGAAAAAAATGAACGAAAAATACTGTTACTAGCATTACCCCGGTGTTTACAAATTGAGTTGTACCTGTGGTGACTGCTATATCGGGGAGACGAAACGACATTTCTGACCGAATTCGCGAGCACAAATCAGATTTGAAACACGGCAGAACGAATTCTTCGGCCGTGGCTGATCATTGTTTCAAGACAGCAGGTTTATCATGACATTATTTTCTCTGATACCAAAGTACTATGCAAACCTCCCGGTTATTACCAAAGATTTGTCCATGAAGCCATCCAAATATACAAACATAGACACAACTTGAACCGAGAGGATGGTTTCAAATTGAGCAACTTTTGGAAAGATGTCATCAACCAAGTTAAACGTTAGCTGGGTTATAATTGTACAGCCGTTTCCGTTTACAGCAGGATGGTGCCTGCGTTCGTGCAGCACGCCATCGCCCTCCCCCCGAACCCCCTGCAGCATAACAAAAGGTGGGTTTTACCCGCTTTCTTGAAGTGCACCACCACTCCTCCCGAACCCCCTGCAGCATAACAAAAGGTGGGGTTTACCCGCTTTCTTGCAGTACACCACCACTCCTCCCAAACCCCCTGCAGCATAACAAAAGGTGGGCTTTACCCGCTTTCTTGCAGTACACCACCACTCCCCCCGAACCCCCTGCAGCATAACAAAAGGTGGGCTTTACCCGCTTTCTTGCAGTACACCACCACTCCCCCCGAACCCCCTGCAGCATAGCAAAAGGCGGCTTAACTTAGCCCTCCCCTCCCCACCCACGTCCCTTCCTGGCACCTCACTCCCCCTTAACCTGTATATAATCTCGGGTATTCCAGAGCTGTTCATTTGTGGATACAGCGAATTTTTGCTGTGTCTGTTCCACCTGAAGACTGAAGCTTGTGTTGCCTCCGAAACGTCGTGATTTAATTTATTTCTTTGATTTAATTTTACCTACGTGACTTTTACCGAAAAAAACAAAGAGTATGAATCCTTGCAGTCACGAAAGCTTCAAATCTATAATTAGCAAAAGTACATAAATCCTTGCGTATTTTTCAACATTATATTCATGCAAGCTAGGAAGGGAAAAGGCAGCTAGCTGATGTTGGCACGAGGATGTCTAAAACACAAACTTGATGGAATGGCACGGGCACGCGCGAACTTACAATTGACAGACAGGCGTGCATGACGATCGCATATCACACATGCGTAACCACTAACGATTGCTTCTTTGCTTTGTTCGAGATGTTGCCCTACAAAAGCAGGGCGACGAAAAATTGTTTAAGACTCATTAGAGTGTTCCTCTCCACGGAAATCTTTAGTAAAAGGCGAAAGATTTATTCGCTCTGAAGAGAAACCAGAGTAAAGCTACTACCGCCACTCGTAGGTACTTATATAAATCTGCTGTCTATTTACGCTATGGGACGCCTTGGCATGTGTCGTTAACTTTTAATCTTTAGTATATCCATAATTTTATAATACATCTTCATATTATTGCTTACTTCGTTTCAAATTGGTGTAAATACTCTGAAGTTATTCGCGTAAAGAAAGACGTATTTCTGTTTAGTCGTACCGCGGTCTGTCGTGCATAATTGCGTTTTATTCGACCAATGGGGAGAGGGGGGGAATAAAACCGCGTCTCTCATTGGTTCCGAAGTTTCCGTTCTCCGTCTGCGTGACGCTCCCCGACTTGGCGGTCAAACGTCTGCAGACCAACAAAGCGCCCTCTTCATAAATTGGCGTAAGTCTCAAGAATCCGTGACAAGTTCCTGGGTAATCTCCAGCCTCAACAGACTGTAAAGGAGCAAGCGCTGTTCGCGAGCACCCAATGAAGGCTAGGATGTGGCCGGGCAGCTTCCACACTCGGCCGCCTTTGTCTCCCGAGTGGCGATGATGTTTAAGACGCCACACCAGCTACTCATTTGAGGCCGAGGTCGACCTTGGGGGGGTGGGGGGGAAGGCGTTAAGATCGGTTCCGACGGTGTTGGAATCGACCTGGGGTAGCCGGGTTCGTAGCGCTGCGCATTAACCGCTGCACCACCGCTCCCCGGCAGAGTCCAGCAGAGAGCGATGGCCGGGATGGGGTTGGCCGATCGCTTTTGAGCGTCAATGAGGTCTTCTTACATTGCAGCTGGGCAAGACTCACGTCCTCCTTCCTCCACAGTCCAGGTTGGATGCGACCAAGGCAGCAATTATAATATATTATATTTATTGGGGGGGACACATCATTGGGGGGGACACATCCCCCCCAATATTCAAATATGCTCAAAATGCCCCCCTACAATATATGACTATAAAATTGGTATGCTGTGGAAATGAAAACAACAATTTGCTAAACCTTGGCCACAATATCTGGACTTGTCTTCGCATAAATCAATGCATAGATTTCTGTTTATATGATTGTGGTTATGGTTGTACTTTATTAACCCCTAATCTCTGCCATTACATACAATGAAACAAGAAACGGTAAAAAAAAGTAAAAAAAGAGCAATGTAATAAATACACTCTTAGACATTATTGTAAAAAAAACGTTCATCCCATGTGTTAGTGATTTTTTTAGGCAGGAAATTAGTTTTCAAATTGAGATATTTTTCTGGGTTGTGACCCCGAGACCCCCTGGAAGAGTTGGTCCCCCCCCCTCCCCCCAATGTTGACTCCATGGCTACGGCCTTGGATGCGACACACGCGGCGAGTGTGGCCATCCTCTCTGAGAGCTCGGGCAAGGCCACCACCAACTTGGCCACGTTAACAACCCAGCGGCAACCGCCCCCAAAAAACAGATGCAGTCGCTTTGAAGGGAGACCCAGGATGACTGTAACTCGAGCACCTCCGCTCCGTATGAATAACGGACATCGATATTTTAACCAATTGTCCATTTTGTGAGGTATCCTAAATAGCTAAATAACTGCAAGCGGATAAAAACAATTAAACGGGCGCTCTGCTATGTTCGCGTGCGCCGGTTACTCTTGGAAACAAACATTGTTTACGACAAATGCGTTCAGGTATGTTATACCACACTCGGTTATACCATAGGGCCGTCCATAAATGACGTCACACACTTGGGGGGGGGGGGTCAGGTATTTGTGACGATGTGTGACGAAGGGGGGGAGGGGATTTGAGAAATGTGACGTCACATCAAAATGCGTAACTTTAAATAAATATAGACAACACGTTCTACTTAATTAAATAGACTTTTTTAATAAATGTGTTCTCCTACATTCCTACAACATCAGAGTGCAGCGCCACATTAAATACGCACTACAATGACAATAGTTTAAAGCGATTTGAAGCATGTTTTATTTGGGGGGGGGAGGCAGAGCTTTGTGACGTCATATTTGAGGGGGGGGGTCTGACTTTTTGTGACGCCGTGTGCCTCTCACGCACGATAATAAATTCACGCGTTTATAAATCACATCACGTTACCCCCTGGGAACATTGCCACGTGTACCCCACCAGGGGATCCCATACGGTTTACCCCGTATCCTTGTAGAGGAAAATTAAGTTTTCAAGTCCATACGGCGTACAGCCGTTTCAATGTGGGCAAAAACATGTTTTTGTTGTCTATTTGTGATTCTGCCTTGTGATGGGACTGTAGGATGAACGTTGAGATTCATTGTATAAGGGGCACGGGGTGACCAACAATGTCTGAATTGGTCTGTAATAAGGTAGGGCACTGATAATGGGTTGACGGGTATGGGATCTGCGTACCAACCCCCCGTGGTTGACAAAACCACACCGATTAACTTCACGAATCGCGATGATACAGTAATAGGTTTTACCCTTTTAACTGGCACAAAAACTGACACCTTTATTCAAGGCATCATGTTTGCAATAACCACAACACAAGCAGTCAAAATGCAAACAAAAGAGACAACTCTGACAACTCTGATAATGATCGCAATGATTTTCGATTTTTACTTTTTAAAACGAAACGCCTTTTTTGCGGGTTGTTTTGTCCGCGCGCGGCCGCCGTTCCGCCCGGCGGAAGTGCTTCACTCCACGTGGCGACGCCGCCGCCTCCTCCTCACTCACGAGCCGGCGCTGATCGCCGACCCTCCCCCCCTCGCCGCTCACGTCGCCCACGTCGCCCGTGCTGTTGCCGCCGCTGCTGCTCCTTTTCCTCCTCCTCGTTCGCCCGCGCAGTTCACACGCGGGCATCGCCCTCGGCTACACCGACGCCGTTCCCCCTCCGTCGTACAGTAGGGCGATCCCTCGCCGCCCTCATATCGACTTGGCCATGCTGCTGGAGGCGCTGCCCGGACAGTGCTCGGTCGTGCTGGGCCGCAAGTCTGGTGAGTGTCTTGTTAAGAAAGACAAAGATCTCCCTCCGCGTAACCATTAATAGGCTGTCGTGTTGGGAAGTTGCTGTTCGCGAGCACCTAATAAAGGTAGGAACGGCAACACGAGGTGTTACCCCTTCCCCCCTCCCAGCACTTGTGCCCGGCCGCCTTTCGAGTCCCCAGTACTCAAGACTAAGCCGGTCCAGGGAATGGCCCAGAAGAACGGTTCAGATATTCGCCACTGTTAATCACCGCACCAGGTATTGTAATCAATTCAAGACCGGGTGGGCCGAGACGGAATGTGCCCAGTGACCCGTGAGCATATTCCTGACTGACCACTGTCTTTCTGAACCTCCCTTCACAGCAGTAATTCTCATACCTCTACCTACTCTTCGCTGGCAATACACGTAATTATAAACAACGGTAATGCATGTAAACGGTTCTTAAAAGCGACAATGATTATCATTACACACTTTCGTGATGGTCATAGTCGTCGCCTCGTTTGAGGTTGCTGACCGGTGGTTGAGACTACGTATACGTACCGTATGTGGAACTTCTTTCGCACCGTAAGTAGCCAACCGTGCTAATCGTAGGTGTGGCAGTCGTGGTGGAGCACCCATCCGCATGACTGCGTGCACCATACCTGTCAACCCCTTATCAGTGCCCTACCTTATTACAGACAAACTCAGACCTTTTTGGTCACCCCGTGCCCCTTATATAAATCTCAGCGTTCATCCTACAAAGTCCCATCACAAGGGAAAAACACAAATACACGCACTACTTGTACACACGACTAGTACATTCACCACTAGTACACTCACCAATAGTACACTCACCACTACATACCTGTCAACCCCTTATCAGACCACCTCCGATCTAATTGGTCACCCCGTGCCCTTATAAATCTCAACATTCATCCTACAATGTCCCATCACAAAGTGAGAAACACAAACAAATAGACATACATGTTTTGCTCGGATTTAAACGGCTGTACGCCATATGGACCAGAAAACGCAATTTCCCTGTACAAGAATACGTGTAAACCATATGGGTTGACGGCTATGGTGCACGTACTGGGTGGTAATTATTAATACATCGCAGTGATCCGTGAGAGATGGTGTTGGCCATCAGCCGTGGTCAATCCAGCAGTGGATTGGCCACGGCTGAATGATGAATGCAAGTCAGTAGGTTGAGGCTTAGTCGACCTACTGGAGGCGCAGAACCGGTTAAAATAGTCGTCACTGGTGTTGGCCGCGAGCGGGATTCGAACCCGGGTCATCAGATTCGTAGCGCAATCCGCTAACCGCTACACTACCTCTCCCCACACATCACCACCACTCTCAGCTGCTCACAATGCGCTCACCAAGTCTACGAAGTTTATTCGTGTCACCAGGTGAGAACCCAGCAGACCCTGATAGTGTAGTCTTTGTCTAATTCGCTCGCGTGACCTGGGGCACCGAAATAACAAAATAGAGGGTTTTTTTTGGGTTAGATCGTGTAAATATATAAATGTGTCGTTAAACCCGCCACCACCCAACACAGCCAAGTAGTAAGGGTTGATCATGTAAACAGAACGTGGCCAATTCGTCACTACTACAGCACGCCGGTGTGTTGGAGAGCCAAGCCACAACATTTACAATCTGAGTACACTGTCGATGCCTCATTGACGATATCGATGTCTCTATGTCGGTATTTCTATGACGATGTTAAATGTCTCAATAATGAGGTCTCTATGGTGATGTCTTTGACGATGTCGATGTCTATGATGATGTCTCTGACGATATCTCTAGGACAATGCCGATGTCTCTAGGACGATGTCGATGTCGCTATGACGATGTCTCTGACAATGTCGATGTCTCTGACAATGTCGATGTCTCTCTTACAGTGTCTCAGTGACGATGTCTCTGTGATGATGTCTCTACATTCGTTGGTCAATGTTGGTGTCTCCCAGCTCCCGTGCACTACGCGTTTGAGGCCGCTGGCCGCTGGCTCGAGGCACTCTTGTTGCGCCGTTCGCGCAGTGCCACCTCGCTCTCCGCGGCCGACGCGGCCGAGGGCAGCAGCTCGGAGTCGGAGGATGATGGCGACGAGGAGCGCCTCGAGTTGGAAGAATACCCGCTCCTCAAGAGCCTCGACCCCAAGGAGTGGAAGGTTCGAGTCCCGAGCAGGGTCGTTAACTGGCCTTCATAATTAGACAAAGTCAAAGACTAGGCGTGGACGTACAAACCGCACGGTGGCAGGACTAAGGGCTAGTAATACGGCATGTCCCCGCTAAACGCGGCGGTTGCGTTCCTGAAAATTGCCTCGTTAAGCAATTTTGCATTAGGCCGGAGATTCATTTTCCCATGAGGAATAACGGTAAAGGTGAGAGTGCCGTTGCAGCCCGTAATTTTATTATTGTTTTTATTTGACAAAAGGCATTGTTTTACAGTGATTTATTTTTAAATACTTTGTGTTCATGTAGTATTTATATTAATATGCTATGTGTGACAGTAGTGCAGGAGCCCTACGATCACTTACTGGATGCTTACCACTCATTGTTAAAGGATTGACATTTTTTTTTACGATAAATTTTACGATTGGTGAGATGACGCTACGCAACACAAAGATGCTGGAACAACGTGAGGAGGAGGAAGGCATGCCATCTGGTGCTGGCTGCATCACCCCCTCATACGTGCACCATCCCCTCATACGTGCACCATACCGCCCTTCATAGGTGCTAGCTAAGAGCACTTGCTCCAACAGGTAATGTGGGCTACATGGGTGATCTTTGTGTCTTTGTGTCGACAGACTCAAGATCACTACCTGGTGCTGGGCCTAGGACAACTGCGGTACCAAGCCACAGCCAAACAGATCAAGGCTGCGCGTGAGTCACTCTTGAAGTCCTTGGAGCACAGGGCTGCACATGGGCCCTTGTGGGGAGCTGGAAGCGAGTTTCCCTGTGGTGCTGCACTGTGTGTGTGTCTATCAAACCAACTCAGCCGCACAACTGCTTAGCGGTGGAGCGAGGAGCAATCGGAAGGTTGTGAGGTCAAATCCTGGTTGGGTTTAGGGGTGGGTTTTAATTAACTCATCCCATAATCGCTCCTTCCGTGGTTGATAAAATGAGTACTACTTTGTTGTTGGGAAGGTCAACAGTGGTTGCCCTGTGGACTCACCCCCTGCTGCCACAGTAATGTGGAAATTCCACCACTGGCTCTGCAGGGCTGTAAATGCGATGTGAGCACTGTTGGCATCACTGCTCACTCGAGCAGGAACTCTTATTGGCAAGCGCCTCTTTGGAACAGCATCACCGCTTTCCAACCGAGTTGGAAAGCGTTGATGTGTGATCTCTGTCCGGAACCGGGGAGGCTGGGGATCACAATAACTCGTAGCGATGATCCAGTATGAATGAAAGTCCACCGTGTAGTCGTGTTGCCTTTTGGGACTCGCCGTAGAGGAAGCCTGGCAACATTGATCAAAGCATTGTTGCCCAAATCCTGGAGACAAATCTAGTGATAAATATGATTTGTGTTCTAGATTTGAAGCTTTCGTGACTGCAAGGATTCAATACTCTTTGGTTTTTTCGGTAAAGTCACGTAGGTAAAATAAAATAAAGGAAAACAACTAAATTAAATCACGACGTTTCGGAGGCAACACTAGCTTCCGTCTTCAGATGGAACAGTCACAGCAGAATAGCTGACTGTTCCACCTGAAGACGGAAGCTTGTGTTGCCTCCGAAACATCGTGATTTAATGTAGTTGTTTTCATTTTATTTTACCTACGTGACTTTACCGAAAAAAACCAAAGAGTATGATTTGTGTTGCCAAGGCCATGAGCGTTGCCATGGCGATGTTGCCTAACTGTGCAGTGATGTTACCGCCCGTTAAATGCTCCCAAGGACAGACGTGTGGGCAGGCATGGTTGATTCCGTCCGTTTGCGTGATTTTTCTTCCTTGTTGTACCGACAGACAAAGCCATGGTCCTGAAGCATCACCCAGACAAGCGCGAAGCCACAGGGCAGCGGACGGGCAACGGCGAGGACGACTACTTCACCTGCATCACAAAGGGTGCGAGGACCCCTCGCTCGTCACGCAACGCCACCACCAAAACCACCGCCACCATCACTACAAGGGCCACCATCACCACCATCGCTGTTGCCACCTCCACGACAATTGCCGCCATAATAGCATTGCTGCCACCACGGAAATTGCGCCCCCAACGACCACATGCAGTGGTGTATTGCTGTATCGTTAGTGTGTCTGTTGTGTACATTAACGGACACGGGGAGTGATGAATGCGTCGTTCCGGAGTGTGTTCTGTACAGTCGGCGTGTTGGCTGCGTGTGTTGTATAAGCCGTAGTTGACCGTCTCATCAAGGGTTAGTGGACGCACAAATGTTGTGAAATTCTATTCCCATGGCAGTCGAGGAAGAGCCCACGCCCTGGCTTGCCAGGAGAAGGCGGTCTAGCAAAGTGTGGTCTTCCATCTGTCCCTACTGTATGGAATAGAGGGTTGCCTCCTCATAAATGTGGGTTTTCTCTTGGTGCTCTGGTTTCCTCCCACATTTATAAACACATTAATTGTCTGAAAACATCTTAATGAAAAAGGGACCGCAGAGCTTGGGCAATTCTTCTGCTTTGCTGGCTGCCTTCCAGCTGGGCCTCTGAATTCCTCGCGATTGTGTGATGCAATTTAAACCTTCTCCTTCCTGTCCCCCCCCCCCCACCTCCTCCCCGGTTGGCGGTGGCGGTAGCGTACGAGGTGCTAGGAGACCCCGTGAAGCGCCGCGCGTTCGACAGCGTCGACCCGACGTTCGACAGCAGCACCCCCACGCGCGGAGACGTCAAGTCCGGGGACTTCTACGAGACCTTCACGGAGGTGTTCGATAGGAACGCACGGTAATACGCGCGTACGCATAGACGCAGAAACCCTCCCCCCCCCCCCCCATATCCTCTAACAGACTGTTGGGGCAAGTCCTGTTAGCAGGATTCGGAATCTTTTTTTATCCCGGAGAAATCCGATGAGCTATGAAGCTCTTTTTCACAAATGTCCAGAAGTATAATCTATTGGGAGTGCTTGGTGCGCTGCGTTACAAACTCAGTGACCCGCGTTCGATTCCCACCCACGGTCAACGGTGATGATTGTGATGGTGATGATTATAATGGTGATGACGATACTGATGATGCTGTTCCTGCTGATGATACTGCTCTTGATGATGATGAAGATTTAGCTGCTGAAGCTGCTGTTGATGATGCTGCTGATCTGCCCCAAGGTGGTCAACCAAGCAGCCTGTGCCTCGTCTGGGTGACGATGCGTCGGCCTTTGAGGAGGTGGACAGATTCTACTCGTTCTGGTACAACTTCGACTCGTGGAGAGAGTTCTCCTACCTCGACGAGGAGGAGAAGGACAAGGCTGAGTGGTGAGAAAGACTGGGAAAGAGTGTGAATATGAGTGCGTGAGTGAGCACAGAAGAGAGCGAGCGAGTGTGATTAACTCAATCGCTTATCCTCCCCATGTTTCACCCACTCTCTCCCTCTTGCTCTCTCGCTGTCTCCCTCTTGCTCTCACTATCTCTCCCCCTCTCACTCTCTCACTATCTCTCCCACTCTCTCCCTCTCTAGCCGGGACGAGCGGCGCTGGATTGAGAAGCAGAACCGGGCGGCACGCGCTCAGCGCAAGAAGGAGGAGATGGTTCGCCTTCGCTCGCTCGTCGGTGAGGTGCTGCCAGCTAGTCCCGCCGCCACCTCCCATTTATCATCGTCGTCATTTACAATTAATTCATTCTGGCTTAGATCATCGTGTAGGTATAATCCCTCCACCACCCAAAAAGAGCCATTCAAGTCGAGTTGTCCCGTCGTGTCAATTTATTGATTTATCCGCAAACGGGAGTAATGTTGAAATGTGAACAAAACGCTTGACAATTGTGTATGACGTTTCACTGGGGATAACACCCAGCATCGACTGTGTCATGAAAGAGCTTTCTGCTCCATGTCCTTAAGTGTGATTATAGGCGTGAATTGATTAATGTGTGTGGTCGGCGTGGGCAGACCTAGTCACGTAACACAGAAATGCGGAGGAGTGGTGTGTTTGTCGTGTGTGTGTGTGCTGTGTATATGCAGTGTATACAGGGCCAGATTAAGATTTTAGAGGCCCCTGGGCTTACAGGTACTGTGAGGCCCTCAGTAATATTTTCTCAATGAAAAAAAGTAAAAAAAATACATTCTATTTTTACAAGGCTTACAACAAATACAATTCACCATTTACAAATGAAATAACTTTTTACTTAATCTCTGGAGGCCCCTAGCTGGCAGAGGCCCTTGGGCTGCAGCCCCTAAAGCCCATGCCTCAATCCGGCCCTGAATGGATATAGTACGCAGTGTGTATGTATGGAGAGCGGTAGTGGTTAGCACACTGCGATATGAACCCGGAGACCCGAGTTCAGCTCCCGGCCACGGCCAACACTGGTAATGAAAATCTGAACCAATCCTTGGCCTCTCCTGGGTCGACTCGCCCTTAAATATGTACCTGGTGTGGTGCGTAAACATTAGCACTGGTGAGACAAAGGTGGCCGGGCGTGGTGCTGGCCTCTCCACCCCCTTTTGCTCTATTGCCAGCCTTAATAGGTGCTCGCTCACAACACTTGCCCCAAGAGCCTGTGTGAGCTACACGGGGGACCTTTGTTTCTGGCAGACCTGGCATACTCGTGTGACTCGCGGGTGAGGAGGTTCCGCGACGAGGAGAAGTCGCGCAAAGAGGCGGAGAAGAGAGCCAAGGCGGACGCCAAGAGGCACAGGCAGGAGGAGATCGACAGGGTGAGTGCAGGCCAGCGCCAGTGACTTACAGCTGAGTGGGGTGTGACTCCTTGCTTGACTGTGCGAGCGAGCGAGTGTGTAAAGTGAATGGGTGAGAATGTGTGTGTGTGTGTCAGGTGGTGCAGCGGTTTAGCGCGCTATGCTACGAATCCGGCTACCCGAGTTCGATTCCTGCTCACGGCCAACACCAATGACAATTAACTGAACCGGTCCTGGGCATCGCCTAGGTCGACTCGGGCTCAAATGTGTACCCGGTGTGTAAACATCGCCACTGTGGAGACAAAGGCGGTCGGGCGTGGTGCTGGCCACCCACTCCCTCGTGTGCCTCGTCGGCCTTCATAACAGCACTTGCCCCAAAAGTCTGCCAAGGCTGTACGGGGGATCTTTGTTTTGTGTCAGGGTGTGAGAGTCTTGATTGATGCCATTCCGTGCGTCTCTCCCGTGGGCATTGCAGCACCGCTGTCCGATTGAACTCCGCCGTGCGGGTGCCTCTCCTAATGCCCGTCTCTTCGTCCCCCCACCCCCTCCAGGTGAGGCAAGCGGAGGCGGAGGCGGCGCGCGCGCTGCGGGAGAAGGAGGAGGCGGAGGCTCGTGTGGCCGCGCAGCACGCCAAGAAGGAGAAGGAGACGTTGAAGCGAGCGCTCAAGAAGGAGCGCCAGAGGCTGCGCGCGTTCTGCAAGGTGCATAAACCACACGAGGCCAACTCCGGTCATCCTTCCAGCGGCAGCCTTTGGACTGGTCCGTCAAAAAAAGTCGGTCGCGCTTCTGAATGCGCTTCTGCGGCCGTCTGGAACGCTCTTCCTTCCGATATTAGGAAGCTGCTGGAGCTACGCGCGCTTCCAAATAATCTAGATTGGAAACTCATGTCTTTATAACTGCTTTTTGTGTTTATTGTTGTCCTTCCGCCGCAAATCCGATTAGACCGGTTGGCTACTTCTGTTGCGAAAGAAAATCAACATACAGCACATACAGCGCCACTCCACCATGGTGCTGTGCCAGGGGGACAGGGGTGTTCATCCTCACCACTCGGTGGCTTGCCAAGATAGCGGTGCTGCTTGCGTTGTATCTGTGTTGCTTCAGCCCTGCAGGGATGGTAGTGATGATGATTGTGATGATGGCACTCGTGATGTTGATGATGTTTCTATTGACGGTTGTGAGGATGGAATTAGCCGACACACGACCAGGATCTGAACTGGTGACATTCTGAACATCGGTCACATCCGCTGACTACAGTGACGCTGCCAATTTATTTGCAATCATAAGAATACAGTCTGCTTGTGTGTGTGTGGGATGGAGCGGTGGTGCAGTGGTTGTCGCACTCCGCTATGTACTCGGCGACCCGAGTTCGATTCCCGCTTACGGCCAACATCGGGGACAAAGATATCTTAACCTGTTCTGAGCCTCCCCTAGGTCAACTCAGCCCTTACTGAGTACCTCGTGCATTGTGTAAAAACCTCTTCACTGGGGAGACAAAAGGCAAACTGGCACGGTGCTGGCCCCCCACCCCCACATAAGTGTGCCGTGCCTGCCTTCATAAGTGCTACACGCTAACAGAACTCGCATCAGGAGTCTGTTAAGGCGACATGGGGGATCTTTGTCTTGGTGTCGCTTTAGACTTGGAGCTACTTTGCGGAGGATGAGGCGGAGAGCGTGCGCATGATGGGGGAGATGGAGAAGCTGTGCGAGAACCTGGAGCTCAACAGGTGAGCAAAGCAGATGTGCGGGACACCCGCCAAGCACACACCACGCGCACACAAAGCACTACTCTTGTCCTGCACATGACAATCGCACAGACACATCTCGCCGCACACAAGGACCAAATTTCAGACATGTCAGAGACGTACCAAGGACATAACGAGACCACATTTACAGTACCTTCCACCTCCCGCAATCTCCCTACCATCATCTCCCATCTGCCTCCATCTTTTACCACCTCTATCGACCACAACTTCCCCCATCTCCGATTAGCATGGTTGCTACTTACGGTGCGAAAGAATTTCAACTTGCATACATCCATCTTCTATCGCACCGCTCCGTGTCCACCCATATTCCCCTTCTCTCCCACTCTATAATATCATCCTATCTCCTTTTACAACTTTCAATCTCCCACCATCTCCTTCACATTCCTCCATCCACCTTCCATCTCCTTTCAATCTCCCACCCCGCATCCTCCCATCTCCCATCGTCTCCTGTCTCTTATCATCTCCCACAATCTGCTCACATTTACAATCTCCTGTCATCTCCCCTTCTCTTCTTCCACCATCTTTCATCATCTCCCACCACCATCTCCTCTCATATACCACAATCTATCGTCTTCCATCAACCACCCAACCAACCCACCCAATCCCCCAACCCACCCAACCCCCCAACCCAATCGACCAACCCACCCGACCCACCCGACCCAACCAACCCACCCCAACCCACCCAACCCAACCCAACCCACCCAACCCACCCACAACTCCACCAACCCCCCCCCACCCTCCGCCCTCAGCCTGCAGGATCTGAACGAGGCTCTGGAGACTTGTGGGGGGCGCGAGGCGGCTCACGAGGCAGTGGGGGGTCGCCTGCGTGAGGTGGAGGAGCTGCTGGAGCGGCGGCGCGTGGAGGAGGCCGAGGCTCAGGCACGCGAGCGGGCGGCCCGCGGCGCCGACGCCGACGCCGCCGCCGCCGCCGCCTCCCCCGGGGGGGACGACGCATCGTCTGCCACGTCGGCGGCAGGTGGGGGCGGCGGTGGCAAGGCATGGCCCCCGGAGGACCTGCAGCTCCTCATCAAGTCCGTCAACCTCTTCCCAGCGGGGACCTCCTCACGGTGAGGAACGGGGGAGGTGGGGGTGTGGGGGCTCCGCCAGGGCAACTCGGCCGGTACGGTGCCGAGTTGCCTTTGGTGGGGGAATCTTTGTCTTGTTCTGTGTGAGTGAAAGTGGCTGGGTGTGAGAGTGGGTGAGGGTGGGTGTGAGTAAGTTCGTGGGTATGAGTAAGAGTGAGTGAGTGGGTGGGTGTGAGAGTGGGTGAGGGTGGGTGTGAGTAAGTTCGTGGGTATGAGTAAGAGTGAGTGAGTGGGTGGGTGCGAGTGAGTCGGTGGGTGTGAGTTAGAGTGAGTGAGTTAGAGTGAGTGAGTGGGAATGAGTGGGTATTAGTAGTTTAGTATTTTATTTTGCATTACCCTGTGAGCCAAAAAGCTCTTAAATCGTGTTTCATCAACAAAAAATAAGACCGCCGCTTCTCCGACAAACGCAACAAGTCACGGTCAAAATAAGTCAAGAATAAACAACAGATAAGCGAAATAAAAAAAATAGATAGCAAGTCATAATTGCACTCTAAAATTTTTCCTTTTTTTGTAAGTAATAATAAACTCAATATAGGTTATTAAATAGCACGCTGTATCTATTAAGACAAAAATCTGCTATATTAATTGTAATGCAGATACGGCCTAAAAGACAACGGCATTACATTTAGGATAAAAAACGCAGTATCCATGTAAAATACTAAGTGTAAGCAACGCGCATAAAGTGGTCGCTTACAAGCAATTAATCTCATCTAACTCTTTATACATTGGCAGCTGTGCTGGAATTCACTTACAATTAGTGATTTGAAGCGGGTGATGGACGGCAATGACTGCAGACCAAGTTTTGTGGCAATATTGTTCCACAGATTAGGGGTCAGCCACCGAAAACGCTCTTTCACCAAAACTTGTTTTGCATCTGGGAACGTTCAACAGAAGGAGTGATGAACTCCTCTGCTTGGGTCCGCCCTCCCGTCGTGTGTCAACTGTTCCAACAAATATTCTGAAGAATTACGACTAAGGATATTGTAAATAAACAAAGCCTGATTAATCGTTCTGTGATCGTGGAGTTGTACAAGTCACAATGATGGGTTTTATAAGGGGCATCCAGAGCAAATCTTTGAACAGAGTGATAAGTGGGAATGAGCTTATTCAATGTTGTATTGGAGGCGGATTGCTACACAATGCAAACATGATGGTAATCAGGTAGCCCTTACCAATTCTAACCGAAACTTAGCTGGTAAGCAACGTTTATGTCCGTAGAGAAATCTTGTTAAAAATGTTGCATTCCTCCCAGTGCATTCACCAAGCTTTCAGATATACTTTTATATTGACTCTCTGTATCGTAGTGCTTTTAATAATAGATTTTTTTATGAAAATGGCTATCCCACTACCTTTATTGTCTCTGTCTCGATGAATGAGATCGTAATTATCAGTTTCAATTTGACAATGTTTTACACCCGTTAAAAAGAGCATTTCCATCAGACAGGTGACATGGGGATGTAGACTATTGACTTCCTGTTTAAGCAAATCTAGTTTACATAAAATCACTCTTATATTTACATGCATGAATCTGTTCGTAAATTCATAAGTGCATGATGTAGTAGTAATATCCGGACTTGGATGAGTGGGTGGGTGTGAGAGTGAGTGGGTGGGTGTGAGTGAGTGAGAGTGGGTGGGTGGGTGTGATAGTGAATGAGCGGGTTTAAGTGAGCGCAAGTGTGAGCAAGACGTAAGTCGGTGATTGCGAGTGAGCTGCTCGTAGTCAACGCGCACCACGTGTGTCCCCGTGATGCCGCAATGACATCAACATCGTCGCACCCAGTGAGAGGACCCGTACGTGCGGACTCTGTCGCGCGCTTCTCCAACACGCCCGCGGAGGGGTTCATTATTCAACCATGATAACAGAGTAGCACCAACGCCAGGCATGCAGGATTCCTGTATGCCGCGATTGAGAATGGGTGGCTCTGCCCAGGAGAGGGAGCACCGAGGATGGCATGGCTGTGACGCCATGGCACACGGGGCCTTTTAGTGCAGTTTGTTTGTTTCTCCTATTATTTGGGCAATAACACTTCTCAATGTGGCCGTTTCATGCAGGGTGAGTCCTGAATGGCAACACAACTTTACACGAGAGTTTCATTCATGCTGGATCATCACTACCATCCCCCCCACCCTCAACCCGTACACACGGATGGACAGAGGTCGCACGTAATGGCACCACGGTGGGGAGATGTTAACTACCTCACCTGGAATGCAGGAGGCTGTGGGTTCGATCCCACCCCTGACGCCTGCTGTATATTTGGAGTTTGCATGTTCTCCCCGTGGTCGCGTGAATTTTTCTCCGGGTGCTCCGTTTTTTTCCTCCACATTTAGAATCATGCGTTTAGAATATTTGGCTACTGCTATAAATTCCCATGCGATAAGCTACATTTTTGAGCCAACCTTTGTGGCCAGGTCACTTCCCAGAAAGAGCGAAATAGCTCAGTGGGCCTCACCTGGTAAAATAAAAAGTTTAGTTTTTAAACGCTCGGTAAAGAGTCGACAGAGCGGGTTCCTTCTCGAGTGAGCGGCTCGGCGGCGGTGCTTGCCTCCTGCATACAGCCTCCCCACCCCCTCGTGGTACAGACAGAGCTCACGCACTCTGCGCCTTCTTATCTTGGCAGCTGGGAAGTCATCGCCAGCTTCATCAACTCGCACTCGCTCACCCCCGGGGTTCGCCGATCGGCGCGGGACGTGGTGGCCATGACCAAACACCTCCAGAAACTCGGTGAGTGGGGGTCGGGGGTTGAAGCACGTACACACAGACACTGGGTATTATTATTGTGTATGTATGTTGAACTTTTCTCACCGTACGTGGCCAACCCTGCTCATCAGCGGTGCGGGGGGGAAGGACTACAAATTAAACACAAAAAGCAGTTCTAAAGAAATGAGTTTGTCAATCGAGATGGTTTAAAAGCGCATAACTCCAGTGGTTTCCTAATATCGGAAGAGCGTTCCAGAAGCGTTCCAGAGGCGCATGATGCAGTGACCGTCTTTGTGCGATGGCCGGCCAAAAGCCACTGCGAGGATGTCCGGAGTTTGCGTGATGGTTTATGCTCCTTGACGAGATCATCATGTTATTGTGGTTCAATTGTGGCAAGCACTCTGTGTGCGAACTCATAATGCATTCGTTCGGCAATCGGAAGCCAATGCAACTCGGCGAGCACTGGACAGACGTGGTCGCGTCTTGCAGTGTTTACCCAGGAAAACCTGACGTTGAATCTTCAAGACTTTTTCAGGAGGGTTCTGCCACGTTTTCCTAGCAGGGGGAGATGTTGTTGCTGCTGCTGATATTTGTATCATTCGGATGATTGGTCAATGCCAGTTACATTGTTTGTGTGTTTTCGCTGTGGGAGGAAACGGGATAACTCGGAGAAAACCCACGTGGAACAAGGCAAAGATCATAAACCTCAATTCACTTACTTGCACTCAATGACAAAGATCCACCGTATAGCCTTAACAGACTGTTGGGGCAAGTGCTATTAGCGAGCACCTATGAAGGCCGGCACAGCACATGAATCGGTGGGTGGCCAGAACCACGCCCGGCCGCCTATTTCTCCCTAGTTTTGATGTATACACACCACACCAGGTACTCATTTGAGGCTGAATCGACCTAGAGGAGGCCCAGGACCAGTTCAGATAATCATCACCCGTGTTGGCCGTGAGCGGGCATCGAACTCGAGTCGCCTTGTTCGTAGCGCAGGGCACTAACCGCTACACTACAGTTACCCACAATCACACACATGCTCATTCTCACTCTCTGCAGAATAGGGGGATAACATAGACATTTCACGCAGGCGCCAAAGTCGGGAATCGAATCGAGACCCTTCTTGCTGTGAGTCACAAGTGTGACCCACTCTGCATCCACCCTGCCGCAATGCTGTAATCCACGGGATAATCCAAAGGTTGCCGCTTTCAGTTCCTTCTCCCAGTGCGGTAGTTAAAACAAATGGGGCGCGGATCGTAAATTCCCTCCACCTCTGGCGACCTAGCAGTGTCAGAATCTGAATTTGTATTTATAGTGGAGGAATCCGATGAGCTGTGAAGCTCTTTTTTTCACAGATGCCCAGTAGGGGAGGGTCAGAATGTGAAAACGACACGCAATACAAAACATGATAGGAGTGCAAAGTACAGTAAAACCTTGGATTGCGAGCATAATTCGTTCCGGAAACGTGTTTGTAATCCAAAGCATTCGTATATCAAAGCACTCGTATATCAGTTGTGATCACGTGACGCTCGGCAGACAAAGCGTATACGTACTGCTCGTATTGCAAGAGATCGCTCGTTTATCAAATTAATATTTATTTAAAAATTTTGCTGGTCTTGCAAAACACTCGCAGACCAAGTTACTCGCAATCCAAGGTTTTACTGTATAAGAAAGGTAAACAAATCACGAAAGAATACACAAAAAACTCAACTTTTTTATTTTCTCAGGTAAAGCCCCACCGAGCTATTAGCTTCTTTTTCAGAAGCGAGCTGGCCACAAATGATAGCTCAACGAAGTGGCTTAACATTTAGCCATTTGTAGCAGCCAAATAATCATAAGTAATCTTAAACGCATGTTTGTGTTTAACACAGTCAGTCGATCGGCAGGCCACGCGTGGCGGGGGAGTAAATTGTCGGTTGTTACCACTGTCTTCCAGCCCACTGGCCAGTGTGGACGAGTAGGCCAAACCCCCTCTAGATGTCCCTTCAGTAGAGGCCCTTCTGCCAGCAGTGGCGTGAGTGCGCAATTGCGGGGCTGCTCCTCTAACTTGCGACCTCTGCGTTGCGTGCAGACCCGGCGCAGAAGGAGGAGCTGAGTCGGCGGGCGAACGAGCGACTTCACTCGGGGGGGACGCTGGCTCCCGGACTCGACCGCGCAACGCCGTCAGAGCGTGACGGTAGCGCACACACTCGCTCACACGTGCAGACACGTGCAGACACGTACACACTGGTATGCACACACGCGCGTTCGCTCACACGTGCACACGCATACACTTGCACACACATACACGTGCAGACGCGTACACGCGTGCTCACGCTGGTACGCACGCACTCGCTCACACGCGTACACCTGCAGACACGTACACACGTGCTCACACGCACGCGTTCCCGCACTCACATGCGTACACAGTGTGCACGTGCAGACAGGTACACGCACGCTCACACGCTGATATGCGCTCAGTCACGTGTTCACGCAGTCACGTGTTCACGCAGTCACACGCACGTCTTCACCCACTCGCACACGTATACGTGTAGACACTTACGCACGCGCTCACACAACAATCACCGTTTGCCACAAAGTGGCGGTGACGTCACCACGGCGCTTGTGCCAGTCTAGGTGCACTCTGAGGCCGTCACATGGAGTGTGTGGAAGGCTTACTACTGACAGGTCACGGGATAGACCCAGGTGTTATGATGGGTTGAATAAGATGACCAGCAGATGCACCACTGTACCAACTTCCACACACACACAAAGACAAAGATCCCCAGTATAGCTGAAATAGCTGTTGGGGCAACTGCTGTTAGCGAACACCTATGAAGGCCAGCACACGGGGGGGGTGGGTGGCCAGCACCATGCCCGACCGCCTTTGTCTCCCTAGTGGCGATGTTTACACACCATACTAGGTATTCATTTCAGGTTGAGTTGACCTAGGGAATGCCTAGGACCTGTTCAGATATTCGTCATGGTGTTGGCCATGAGCGGGAATCGAACCCTGGTCGCCAGGTTCGTAGTGCAGCACGCTAACTGCAACACGGCCGCTGCCCACACACACAGACACGTACATACTAACACACGTGCACGTGTGTGCGTGCGTGCTCAGGCCAAGGAGTGAGCGAGTCCATTGCTCCGGCTGCCTCCGAGAGCCCTTGGACGGCGGCGGAGCAAAAACTTTTGGAGCAGGCGCTGAAGACGCACACGGGGGGCGGTCCCGAGCGCTGGGACGCCATCGCACGCGCCGTGCCAGGCCGCTCTCGCAAGGAGTGCATGCGGCGATACAAGGTAAGCCAACGGGCGGCGGTGGAAACCGCCATTAGGGTCTGCGATGGGGGGCGGAGGGATGCTTTGCAATTGAAAGTCTTTCAATCGGAAGGTCGTGAGGTCAATTCCTAGTTGCGGGGTGGGGGGGGGGCTGACCCATCATTTTATTGTGGGGAAGATGAACAGCGGTTGTCCTTTGGATTGACTCATCTTCACCATAGTGAAAATTAGGAATTTCCATAACTGGATATGCAGGGCTGTAGATGGGAGGTGAGCACCGCTTGCATCACTGCTCACTCGAGCAGGAAATTACTCTGGCTGGTGCCTCAGCCGGACGGCATTAACGCCTGCGAGGTGGAAATGGCGTGAATGGTTGATGGGTGATGTCCGTCCCGCTGTAGCAGGGGAGAGGGTCATGCTAACTCTTGTAGCGATGATCCAGTATAAATTAAACTCTAACCGTGAAGTTGCGCTGTCGCTAAGGAACTCACCCTCGAGGAAACTGGCCACATTGATAGAATCATTGTTGCCCACACCTTGGCAATAAAAAATCCAGCGGCAAATGGATAGACCTTTTCGGCTAAGGCGAATCATGTCAAAAGCCACGTGACATCTAAAGCAGCTGAACCGATTTCGGTGCTGGCTTCATTGGCTGCTGCAAAATTATAAAAATCTGGTTCTCAAGTGCAGTGAGGTCATGGTTTCAGCCAAGTCACCAATGATGGCACGAAAAAATCCTGATCACGTAAAAATATGTTCTGCACTTGATTTGGCTAAAATCCAGTTCTGAAAATGTAAAATATGTTTTTTGACTCTCATGCGCAGTACGCTCAAGTGGCAGAACGGGTGGGATAATGCTGCCCCCTCTCTACTGTGCAGAGCAGAGGTCATTTAAATAAGAAGTGTTCTGAGAGGTAGCTCCGTGGTATCCGCTTCCGTGGGAAATTCTCTAACACACGGGAGGGTGTTGTATTGCTTTTGAGATATGTCTTGAGATGACGCGACACCGCCAATCGTAACACCGAGAACTGGGGGTCACTCAGTTTCAACTGTCAGCGTGATTGGTCGTGAATCACAATCGCAGTGCGACGATTGTGCCGATTGTAATCTCAGCTGATACCGCCGCTGTTTGGCCGATTGACCCCAGTTGTCCGTTGTGCATAGCGCGGTTGTGCGTTAACCGCTGCACCACCACTCCACGCTCGCCGATCGGAGGCTCTGTCAAATCTCAGTCTTGTCGCGTGCTTGCCGCGTGTTTCTGACGCGCGTTTTGTCATGTCGGCTGCAGGAGCTGGTGGAGATGGTGAAGGCGAAGAAAGCTGCACAGGAGGCGGTTAAGATGAACAAACAGAAGTAGCGAGAGCGATGGGGGCGGAGCGCATGAATGGGGAGGAGGAGTGAGTGGGGGAGTGGGTGATGATGAACAGTTTTCACGCGGTGTGAGTGGGGGAGGGTTGCAAATGGGCGATTGAGAATGCGTGAATGGGCGAGTGTGTAAGTGAGGCGGTGTGAATGAGTAGCTTAGAAGGGGACCGGATGAGTGAATTGGAGGTGCTGATGTGAGCTGTGTAGATGTTTGTGAGTCAATAGGTGAGTGAGAAGGTGACCCCAAATAGGGGAGATGGTAAGTGAGTGTTCAGCGTAGGTGTTGATGCGCGAGATTGAGTGCGAGAGCGTGCGAGATTGCGTGTGAGATTGCGAGTGAGCGCGCGCGAGATTGTGTGTGAGCGTGTGCGAGATTGCGCGAGTTGGTGTTGGCGCTTTGCGTCGTGCGTCGCGTCACCAAGATGACAGAAGCGGCCTCTCTCTGGCGCCGGAAACGCGTCGTGGCATTTCACGAGCATCCCCTGTGACATTTTGCGTACAAAACTGAAAACAGGTTTTCCATGCTGACCCGTGTGTGTGTGCGCGCACGCGCGCGCGTATTTTATCGGCGTGTACAACACATTAAACGCGCGCTGCTGAGAGGAGAAACAACTGCCAGTGATGTCATCAGTTGGCCTTGGCGCGAGCGACACTGGGGAGACCGGGCGAGATCTTATCCACTTGTTGGATGATGAATGCATGATGCGGAAGCAGGTTCCTCGATGCTGTAGTCATTGGAGATTATTTTAAACATCGTGCAACCCGGATGCATGTCAAACCGGACCCTTGGCAGTTCGCCAGCATTGGTTCAAACAAGCCTGACTGTTGATGAGACATCAACAGTCGGTTGCATTTGAGATAATTTAATATTTATCTGCTGCTCTTTTAGTCTCGTGCTGATCATACGTCCTGTTTTCCCAACATAACATTTACAACACGTGCAGTTGATCCTGTACACACCTGTTGATAGCTTCGGTAATACATCTTTTGTACCAGATATTAGATTCTGTATTTTATGTACCATGCCAAATCGGACTCGGATGTTTTGTTTTTCCAAACATCTGATTAACTGCACGTGTGGTAAATGTTATGATGGGCAAACAGGACGAATGATCAGTAGCAGAACACGCGTGACAACAAGGACACTGAATTGATTTTGATAATGTTGAAGTTGTGTGCAAAACTAGCTATTACTGCTCTTTATACTCTTTGTTTTTTTCGGTAAGGTCAAGTAGGTAAGATCAAATAAATGAAAACAATTAAATCACGACGTTTCGGAGGCAACACAAGCTTCCGTCTTCAGGTGGAAACCGTCGCAGCAAAATTCCTGTATCAAGTGAAGAGAGCTCTAAGAGACCCGAGATTATATACAGGTTAAGGGGGGGGAGGAGCCAGGAAGGGCCGTGGGGGGGGACTAAGTTAAGCCGCCTTTTGTTATGCTGCAGGGGGTTAGGGGGACGGAGAAGGGGATGGCGAACGGTTATCGAAAATGAGAGAAACCTACTGGAAGAAATGGAAATGGCTTTTCAATTATAAGGCAGCTAAAGTTTGACTTGGTTGATGACATCTTTCCAATGATTGGTTAATTTAAAACCATCCTCTCGGTTGAAGTGTCTATGTTTGTTCATTTGGATGGCTTCATGGACAAATCTTTGGTAGTATCCGGGAGGTTTGCAGACTACTTTGGTATCGGAGAAAACAATATCATGAGAACCCGCTGTGTTGAAATATCATATCATATATGAGAACCCCCCTTATAATTGTACAGCCATTTCCATTTCTTCCAGTTGGTTTCTCTAATTTTCTACAGCCGCTCGCCATCCCCCTAACCCCCTGCAGCATAACAAAAGGCGGCTTAACTTAGCCCCCCCCCCCACGGCCCTTCCTGGCTCCTCCCCCCCCCCCTTAACCTGTATATAATCTCGGGTCTCTTAGAGCTCTCTTCACTTGATAGAGCAATTTTGCTGTGACGGTTTTCACCTGAAGACTGAAGCTTGTGTTGCCTCCGAAACGCCGTGATTTAATTTAGTTTTCACTTATTTTATTTTACCTACGTAAAATAAAACCGCGCGTGCGTTCCGAAATTTAGCAGCGCAACTTTCATACGTATCGGAACGTGAAAGGGTTAAGGGACCGTGAGTAGGGGGGGGGGGGGGGGGGGGGGGGGGGGGGAGAGTGAGGGTTTGGACAGGATGCGCCACAGCCGGCAAGGATGACGTACGGCGGTCGAGGCAAACGGCGGAAGGGCAGCCCAAGGAGTGGACGCGCCCCAAAGCACGACCGCCATTGAGGCAGAGCGACAAAATCTTGAGTGCCGGGGACGTTCCGTGGTATCGCGGGGGACCGTGAGGGGCGATGAAGCGGGGGGGGTCCTTTATTCAGCAGTGGAGAGCGTGGCTCCTGAGGAATGGATCGACACTGGATATAAAAAAAAAAACATTTGAGTAATGTCAGTGAAGGACGCCGTATTTGTATTCATATTGACAGGCATCCACAAAACGGATGCATGATTGGCATTTTGCACCCATTGCCAATTTGACCGATTTCAGAGCATTCCTGTGAGAGAAAAAAACTTTACAGTTGTTGGTAACTACAGTATGGCTTCAAAAGGAAAATAGGCGACATTTCGTGCAATGGTCCTTCATAGCACGTGATCGACGATAATTGGTGCGTTAAAACGCTCATACGCGTTTGCCTGTGTCAGGTGGTGGAGGGTTTAACGACGCATTCGGTCAGATCATTACGTGGCCTCAACCAGAAATCAACTATGAAACCTGATATCAGTTTCGGAAACCTGCTACGCATTAAAACCAATGAGTTTGTACAGTATTGTATATGTGTGTATGGCTCTGTATGTAAGCATGATACATGTGTCCAAATCTTCCAATGGTTTGTGAGCTGGACACAATCCGGTGAGCTCCGGCAGGCAAGGCTGCGTTGGCTGGGTTATGTAGCCCGCATATGCCCAGCCACGCTGCCCAAGCAGATTTTGTTTGGCCGGATAGAGAGGGTTAAACGGTCACGGCTCGAGAAGAGATGGAGGATAAGGAGCTGAGTAGACTTGACTTTGGCTGAATGGTAACAGCGGTGTCAAGATCGGCCTCGATGGAGGAGGCTCGTGAAGGGGACGCTACTGGGAACTTGGAGGCAGTCGCCCTCCAGCAACAGCGGAGGGCAGAGGAGCGACGCTCACAACAAGTGGAGCGCCGGGCGGCTAACAGTGGGGATCACAGCTGATGTATCTGCAATTATCTCAATCAACCCCTGGCACTTGGGTCTGTTCCGTGACCTGCCAGCGGGCCTTTGACACTCCACGTGGCCTCAAGGTGCACCTAGCCTGGCACAAGCAAAAACATTCACAATTTTTGTCTGACAAATTTACGACCCAAATCTAAAATATATATTCCCTATTTTAAAACTTGATGCCAAGCTGGGATTATGCATTTATTATTTATTTTTTGGGTTAGGTTGCGTAAGTAAAATGTGTCGTACTCCAGTTGCCATGTTAGCAAACGTGCCAATTTATATTGTGAATCATAAAAACGGTCGCGAAAGCCTACCGTGTAGTCGACAAAGTTACGGTAAAGAAAAATCGACGTTTTAAATTTTAGGCCACCCCTGCTACACAACCCCACCCCCCCCCCCCCCAAAAAAAAAATCAATAAAGATTTTGCTTTTCGATTTTTTTAAAGATATTTCTTTTTTTATCCAATTATATCCTCATTGCACTATCGACGTCACGTCATAGCAATCACAACTCTTCGTGTTAGGTAAGAGCCTAAAATAAGTTAATACTGGTAGGAACCTCTGGTTACACCAGCCCACAGGGGATTATTGTGTCCGTCCGTCCGTCGTGCTTCCAAAAATGGGAGGGGTGGGGCTGGGTGGATAGGGGAGGGGAGGGGCTGGGAGGGGAGGGGCTGGGTGGGGAGGGTGGGAGGGGCTGGTCACCCCGTGGTGCCCTTATAAAACTCAACGTTTAACCTACTCACGCCGGCTTGTGCCCGCCCTCCCAGTCGGGCATATTTGCGGAATACACCACGCCGCCGTTGACCCTGGCCATTGACCGAGCAACTCCCTCTGCAGGAATGTGTTATCACGGAGCTACGACCTCTTAAGGTCCCAGCGGTGTACGCACAGACAATGGGGGATAGAACTTTCTCAGCAGAACTACATTTTAGGTGACTGTGTGGCATTGGGGAGTGTAACTTTTAGCGCTCCTGCGCTACGAACCCGGCGACTCGAGTTCGATTCCCGCTCACGGCCAACACCAGTGACGATTATCTGAACCGGTCCTGGGACTCCCCTAGGTCGACTCGGCCTCTAATGAGTATCTGGTGCGGTGTGTAAACATCGCCACTTAGGGAGACAAAGGCGGCCGGGCGTGGTGCTGACCAATCCACCCCCTCGTGTGCCGTGCCGGCCTTCATAGGTGCTCGCTAACAGCACTTGCGCCTACAGTCTGTTACATGCTACACGGGGGAAACTTTGTCAATGGGTGATCGGGCTGAGACCATCAACACGCGATGCTGAATCACAACTCGGTTTGTGGAGGGTGGGGGGGGTCTCTGTGCGAGTCCACCGCAGAGCCGGATTATCCTAGTCGCAAAAGTAGCATATGCTACGGGCCCCGCACTTTCAGTGATTCTGCACTTGCTCTATTACTATAGTACTCTACTGCCTTAAACTTTTATTAAGGACTGGGTGTTTAAAGTTAGCCATTTGTCGTATTATCTGGCTGTATAGCAAATTAAAAAATACAATTACTTTACTATAAAAGTTTAAAATTAGTGTTTTAATATTCATGTGTTTTTTTTAATATTTAGGGCCCCTTTTTAAAACACATGCTGCAGGACCCGCACTTAGCTTAATCCGACACTGGTCCACCGCCCAGTGTGGCCAATGGCTCCTTGCGCCCCTAAGCTGCCAGTCGCGTCTCCTAATGAGCCGCGTTGTTTGCTTAATTTCCTAACGCTGCGCAATCGCGACGCTGTAACGTCTCAAAGGCACCAATTAGGCTCATTGGTGGTGATGTGGGAGGGCGGGAGGGCGGAGGTGGCCTTCGTGCAGACGTGGACAACGTCTTAGGAACCACGAGTGTTTGTTTGCAATTAACGAAGTGACGTAAGAGTTAAAGGTGCAGCCCTGCAATGTCGCGCCCGCTCCGCTGCCGGTGCAAAGGCTTCCAAACTGGACATGCATTTGGCCTACTCGTCCACAGTGGCCACGTACGTTGAGA